CATGTGCCCATGTGTAATCAACTCAGGACCTAAAGTTACATTGTATTTCTTTTAAGAATGTTTACTGCTAATGAGTCTCTAGAAGGCAAGTTTCTCAACTCATTCAGCTGGTTAGCTGCTGGCCTGTTCTCATTCTTAAATAACAGTTTCTTGGGGGTATAATTGATGAAATACAACTAAGATTAATATTGTGAAATATGCATTTTTATAAGCTTTGAAGTAGTTATATGATCTGTTGTTACTACCATCAGGATATAAACATGGATATCACCCCCAAAAGTTTCCTTATTAACCCCCTTAGGTAATCGCCTTTCTCCCACCCTTCCTCACCTCACTCCCAAGTCCCAAATGATCTGCTCTTCTGTCACTGTAGACTAGCTTGCATTCTTCTAGAGTCTTATAAAATATAGAGTCATGCAGTATATACTATTTTGGTTGGCTTCTTGGCATAATGATTTTGAGATTCATGTGTGTTGTCATCATATATTAATAGTTCATTTCCTTTTTATTTCGGGTAGTACAACATTCTATTGCATGCAGTATACCATAATTTGTTTATCTGTTCGCTTGTTGATGGCCATTTGGTTGTTTCAATATTTGGCTATTTCAAATAAGCTATATAAACATTTGCATACAAGTCTTTGTGGGGACATATAGTTTCCTATCTCTTGGAAATAGAATGCCCGAATCATATAAGGTGTATGTTTAACTGCTAGACTGTTTTTCCAAGTGGTCATACCATTTTATGTTCCCACCAGCAGTGTGAGAATGCACTTACTCCACATTCTCTTTTACACTCTATATGGTCTGGTCTTTTTATTTTAGTGGTAGTGACATCTCATTGACTGATGATAATGAGGCATCTTTTTCATGAATTGCCATTGTATGTCTTCTTGGTGAAGCATATGTTCAAATCTATTTGTCATTTTAAAATTGGGTTGTTGTTTCTTAACATTGAATTTTGAGAGTCTTTCCTTATTCTGGATACAAGTCCTTTTTAGATATATGCCTTGGAAATATTTTCTCCCCATTTCTGGCTTGTCTTTTCATTCCTTAATAGTGTCTTTTGAAGAGTTGAGGTTGTATTTTGAAGAAATCTAATTTATCGTTTTTTTCTTTATAGATTGTGCTTTTGGTGTCACATATAAGAATCTTTGCCTAACCCAAAGTTATAAAGATCTTATATGTTTTCGTCTAGCATTTCTATAGTTGTATGTTTAACATTTAGGTCCTTGATCCATTTTGAGCTCATTTTTATTAATTTCCTTGTCTTAGTGTGGATCTTGTAGAGACAGAAAGTTCAGTGTTCCCGTTTCACTGCCATTCCCAAGCGGCTGTCCCTACTGCAGCCAGAGGAAGTTTCTCTACATTTTCGCCCTCACCTGGTGGTATATTGCATTGTGTGTTATTTGGTTTGAGGCATGATATTGAAGAGGAGTTTTTAAAATTTAAATTAAATAAGAACATATTTTATAATATTAAAATTAGATTAGAAATATCTTTAATATCTTTAAAAGATCCTTTAAAAATTGTCACTTTAAAAATGGTCAAAGAGACTTGTCAGAATGTGGCAGTTATCACAATTAAAAATGAAAAGCAAAGAAGTAGATTGTTTTGAAAATATTATTGATGAATTTGCTTCCATTAACCCAGGAAATAAATTATCAATACATTTTTTGTTATAAATAAAATATTTAAACTAATGCTGTGAATTTTAATATATCTGATTTTAAATTTTTCAGTATTTTTTCAACTAATTAATGTTCTGGAAAAAATTAACCATTAAACAATATATTAAAAATATATAGGAGTATGTACACACTTTTCCTTTTACCTTAGGTTCTCAGTATGGTTCAGCACAACACTAGTATTTAAATTTAACATTGTTCATCAGAGACTCTTTTGCATTAATCTTTATTTTAAAAACTATTATATTAAAATATTATTTATCTGGCAGTTTTTTAGTGCCCTTAAATTTTGTTCAGATCCCCTCACGTTTCTCTCTCTAGGTCCAGCCCTGGTACTCTATACTTCCTCAAAAGTAAATACAGACATACATTCAGAAGATATTTTATGGTTAAAATATAGTAAAAATTAGCAATAGAAGTTAGAAATTCATAGAATTTACTCAACTAATTAGATTTTGTTTACTCATTCATTCACATGAGTCAATAAAGTGGCAACCTGTAGAGTTGAGGCACATAAAGAGATGAGGGTGGTATAATATAGTTTGGATGAACAGTTTAAAAATCCAAACAGTCATGGATATATATGTGTGTGTGTGTATATATATAAATATACAGGCACTTAAAATTAAAATAAGAAAGGATTTGATCATTTTAAGTTAGAAATAGAAAATCTTTGTGATATTTTCTTTAAAAATACCTAAAGAGGATGAGCAAGCGCTCTCAGGTACTTATCATCAGTATGCTGTGTTGAAATCCTCTGCTGTGTGCCTCCCACTGCACAAATTTTTTCTTCTAATGTTGTTCTTATTAAAAAGAGTTCCTTAGAGAATAACTGATGCCCTTAGAGAATAGTTGATGCCCTTAGAGAATAACAGTGCCTCATAACATGATGTATTAAACTTACCATGTAGCAGACACTGTTCTAAACATTATATAGTATTAATTTATTTAAACTTGAACTAACAATTGCTGTGATAGGCCACTGTTGTGATCCATTTTACAGATGAGAAAACTCAGGCATAGAGTGACGATAAATAACTGACATACTTTACACACAGTTAGTGAGCACAGAAATTAGATTTGAACCCTAGCAGTCTAGCTATTACTGCTTCCATGTAATAAAGATTTTTTGAATAAAGGATGGAATAGATCTAATAGTGTATTAATTTTCTTTCTTTTTTCTTGTCTTTTTTGTTTTTTGAGACAGAGTCTCCACTTTTGTTGCCCAGGCTAGAGTGAGTACTGTGGTGTCAGCCTACGCTCACAGCAACCTCAAGCTCCTGGCTCAAGCAATACTCCTGCCTCAGCCTCCCAAAGTAGCTGGGATTACAGATATACACCACCCATCCGCCTGGCTATTTTTTCTATATAATATTATATATTAGTTGGCCAATTAGTTTCTTTCTATTTATAGTAGAGATGGGTCTCACTCTTGCTCAGGCTGGTTTCAAACTCCTGACCTTGAGTGATCCTCCCGCCTCAGCCTCCAGAGTGCTAGCATTACACGGCATGAGCCACCATGCCCAGCCATGTGTATTAATTTTGTATTGCTGCTGTAACAAATTACCCAATTTAAAAAGTTTGGGACTATTGACTAATATAGATCATCTTATGTCCCTCTTGTAAAGTCTGTCCTTTCTCTATATATTTTTCTCCTCTCTGTGTAGGGAAAAGTGGATATAGTCATCTATGGGTAGACAAAATAGCTTAGAAAAAACACATTGGACCATTCCCCAAAAGGGGAAGGACTAGCAATCACCAGTGGTCATACACAATGACCCAGAGAAAGTATTTTGGAGAGTGTGTTGCAGGATGATGCATTAGCCAAATGGTTGGGAAGAGTACTGTCTGTGCAGACTTTATCCATTGTCCAATGTCTGTTGGCTCTGCCAGCCATCATGAGGTCCACATAAGGTGTAATGAAGCAAATGTTAAACTGAGACAGAACAAACTTGGTTTAAGAATGTATAAATATGGGGGCAAGGTACTAGGATCCAGGTTGAGGAAGGATAGAAAAAGTCCCATGGCCACTGGAACCTTAGCTGTGAGAGAGAGCCCAGCCTAGCAAATGCTGACTCTAGACCAAAAAATTACTGGGTATGATTTGGTGAAGGGAGAGGTATGTGTGGCTGAGGGTGAGGGTGCAAGTGGGGTGGGTGGGTGGGTGAGTGAGGCACTTGAACTTCTTTCACTCAATCAGAAACCATTAGTGATTTAAGTGCTATAACCCAGTCCAAGTCATGATAATGAGTTTCCACTGATCTCTTGTGTTAGGTATTATAAACAGTAGAAGGTTCCTTCAGATTGCCAGTGATTTTGTTCTGGCTAATGAATTTCTAAGGAGTATGCATTTAGCTGTCATATGTGTATCCACATAGATATGGCTTGTGTCAGTCATTGAGACACTGGCTCAATTTCTTGGTGGAATAGCTCTTTGAAATTCATTGGTGGAGTAAATATGATTTTATATCTGATTTTAAAATATTGCACAAAACTTTCCATCAGGGAATCTAATGAATTTTTTTCTTAAAAGATATGTAATTTGATTGAGAGAAAAGTTCTCTTGCCTTAAGACTTCTAATATATTTTAAAAGGTCATCTCCTTTTTGGGGGTTAAGATCCCATTTTAGAGGCTACATATAATATTTTGTTGGGGTTGCCAGGCCATCACCATCCTGAGAGCATGAACTCATTTATAGAATACTTGCTAATATGTTTCCATCCTCCTAAGAGAGACATTTCTCATTACAGTGGGCTGCAGCACCAAAGTTTTTGTAGTTGACTGGTGTAGTTCTGAGTAAATCTTGATTTTGTCTCCTTGACAGTGACCAAAGCGCTCTGCTAGAGGATTTATTGATGGACCAAGCCCCATAAATGTGGTCGTCACTGCCAGGAGAGAAACATGCCATCCTGAATATTTGTAAAATGTTCTTGTAAAAATGTTTTGTGAGCCGTCATCTTACATCATTTTTACCTTTAGAGATTTAAACAAAATCATTCATTTTATGCATGACAAGAGATATTTGCACATAATCCACTGTGGGCATTTGGGTTACCTTAATATCAATCATTGTGACTGTTTTAAAAGAATTTTGAAGAGGTACATACTGAAAGTACTTTTATCTTACAAACATCTTTCCCTCTGTGACATTGCTTTGCTTCTGAAGGTCAGCCTTCTTCCTTTTGTTTTTTTAAAAGTTATACCTTTTGTCATAGGTATATTTTTTGTCTTTCTAAAACTGATATTTTCAAAATATATCTTAAATATGCATTCATATGCTCTATTTCTGATTCATTGTTTTAAACTTTCAGGCTCAACTTTAAAGAAGCTTCTACACACTGGAAATTCTGTTAAGGTATTTATGTGTAATGTCATTTTTAATTACTCTTAATTTTATTAATGCCACAAAGTAACGATGTTAGGCCATTTTGAAAAAAGAGATCTTTAGAAACCATGTGACTTAGTTTTTATTTTTTAATTGATAAATTATATGATAAATATTGTTAGGGTTTTCTTCTATCACAACTTACTGTGAAAGATGTTTTTAATGGCATTAGGGAAAGTGACTTGGGTTTCGGACTTTGGAGTTCTGAGTTCTAATTCTGATTCTGCTAGGTACAGCTAGAAACCATGGGAAAGGCACTAACTGCTCCAGTTTTATCATCAGTAGAAGGAAAGGCATTTCCTCTAAGCTTCAGAGCTAACATACCTGGTTCTGTTTACCTCAGTAATCTGGTTGTTAAAATTATAGTTGTCTCTGAATTAATTTTACCAATTTTGAGAACTACTCTATAGGAGAAAATAACAGCAGGGCCTCCCTCTTGAACATTTATTTGCTGCAGATTGATCTTGTACTTTAGGTTAAAATTGGCTTATTTAAAAATGAATATACCTTTATAGTGACATATATTACTTGATGTAGAGGTAATATGACCCTAAAACGTTAGTGGCAGAGAAAACCAGCCTGGGGTAAATATTTTATGGAAGATAATTCACTTGTAGCCAATTAAGTTGTGTGAATGCTTTTAATAAACTAATATATTTTTTGTTTTCTATCAGTTTAAACAATCACAGCCGCTTAAAACTTGATATGTTGACTATCTCTTACATGTTGAAAAAAAGAAGCGAGCTATTCATAGCCTCATCGAGAGTCCATATTTTGTCCCTCTTATAATAATGTTATAATTAAAACCTATCAGGTTGTTATTTTATGTTTGTATTAGCCTTATGTGTATTTAGTTCTCTTAATTACAGTCAGCATAAACAATTGGAGACTTGTTATAGAATTTCATAGAAAGTTTCCTCTTGTTAAATATAATCTTATTAGTTATACGTAGAGTTGTATCATTTTTTTTGTCTGATGGTGGCTGATTAGTATTGTATTACCACTCATTCTACCTGCTTGGGGAGAGGAGGACAGGTGTGCATGGACATGGAGGTTTGTGCAGAGCCGTGGTGGAATCCCGGAGCATGTCTGGAAGTATGGTGTGAGTCTACTTCATTAATGGGATAGGACTGTTGCCAGCTAGGGTGTCTGTCTTGATGTAGTTTGACTTCTGCTGGGATTCAGCAAAGCCAAGTATGTAATTTTTGCAGGGTGGAGTGGGTCTTTTTTCCTTTTGGTTTTCTGCCAGAGCCTTGTGTTTAGCTTGCAATCCTCTTGCTCTGGGGGCATGAGCACCACTTTAGGTTAAGGGAAAGGAGATCAGACAGTCACTCCAGTTGCCCACATTTGGAGTTCACAACATCTTTCAGCTGTGTCTGACTTTTTTTCCAATCTCTTTTGCTTATTTAGCTTCTTTTATTGACATCATCTTTCAGCTGTCTAGGACAGAGTACAAAAATGGAGGGATGTGTGTTTTCGAATTCTAGGAACAGGACGAATTTGGAAGTAAGTGTAGAGGAGGAAAAAGGGCACATCTACCTATGTTGATGTTTTCAACCAGGTGATGCTGACCATTCAGAGCATGGCAAAGGTATTAGAATATAGTAGGCAGGGGTGCCCAACCTCTGGTGAATTATATAATTATTCCATTATATATTACAAGGTAATAATAATAGAAACAAAGTGCACAATAAATGTAATGCGTTTGAATCATCCCGAAACCATCCCCTCATCCTCCCTCTCCCTACTTTGTGGAAAAATTGTCTTCCATGAAAATGGTCCCTGGTGCCATAAAGGTTGGGAACCACTGGAGTTAGGGACATAAGTCAGGAAAGCTGGAGAGCTGCCCTGTCTCACTGAGCCAGGCCTTCAAGGTCTTATTTAGCACCAAGTGTTCTGATTTTCAAGAAGATCATAAGCATGTGCATACAGTACATACATTGGGAGGGAGACTGTCTTTGGCATTGTTTTCCTGGATGATTTAGTGTTGATGATATGGGCACTGTTGCTTTACAGAAGGAAATACTATTGATAGGGAATATTTACATGGTGCTTAATGTGAGCCAGGAACTGTTATGTGTACTTTATACATTAGCTCACTTAATCCTTACAACAGTCCTTTGTGGTAAACGCTTTTGTCGTCCCTATTTTACAGATGGGGAGACTAAGGCGTGGAGAAGTGGTCTCCACAGGTCACAGCTAGAAAGTGGCAGAGCCTGCATTTGAACGCAGACATTCTGGCTCCAGAACCTAAGCTCTTAACCCTTGTCCTATATTGTAGCATTCTTGCTTATTTGTCACTAAGTGAAGAACTTGGTGAAGTACTTTAAAGATACCTTTAACTTCTAGTTTTTTTTTGTTTTTTTGTTTTTTTTGAGACAGAGTCTCACCCTGTTGCCCAGGCTAGAGTGCCGTGTCTTCAGCCTAGCTCACAGCAACCTCAAACTCCTGGGCTCAAGCAATCCTTCTGCCTCAGCTTCCCCAGTAGCTGGGACTACAGGCATGTGCCACCATGCCCAGCTAATTTTTTCTATGTATTTTTAGTTGTACAGCTAACTGCTTTCTATTTTTAGTAGAGACGAGGTCTTGCTTTTGCTCAGGCTGGTCTTGAACTCCTGAGCTCAAATGATCCTCCCGCCTTGGCCTCCCAGAGTGCTAGGATTACAGGCGTGAGCCACCGCGCCTGGCCTTGACACCTTTAACTTCTAGTTTTTCTTTCTCAGGACTGATGCTACATTGCAGGGCATTTCTATAAATACATGTGTTTCATTTTCATTACTTTTAACTTTGTTTTCAGATAAGATGTGAAGGAATCAGGCTGTTTCTTTTGTGGCTTCAAGCACTTCAGACAAACTGTGCAGAAGAGCAGGTGCTGATTTTTGCTTGCCTCGTGCCTGGTTTCCCAGCGGTCATGTCGTCCAGGGGGCCCTGCACGCTGGAGACGCTCATCAATCCTAGCCCTAGTGTAGCTGATGGTGAGTGATGTTAGCAGATCTTACTTGCTGAAATTACTCTTGAACTTACATTGAGGAGTACCTTGAGGAGTCATTTTCTTGACAAGAAATCCTGATATAGATGGGTTCTGAAGAGGAATTATTTCATATTCATATTACTAACATCAGAATCAAAAGACTGGGAGCCTATTTTTTTTCCTATTTCAGCATCTTATGGGGGTACAAATGTTAAGGTTACGTATATTGCCCATGCCCTCGAGTCAGAGCTTCAAGCGTGACCATCCCCCAGATGTTGCATATCTCACTCATTATGTTTGTATATACCCATCCCGTCTTTCCTCCTTCCCACCCGCCTGACACCCAATAAATGTTATTCCTATATGTCCACTTAGGTGTTGATCCTTTAATACCAATTAGCTGGTGAGTACATGTGGTGCTTGTTTTTCCATTCTTGAGATACTTCACTTAGTAGAATGGGTTCCAGCTCTATCCAGGAAAATACAAGAGGTGCTATATCACCATTGTTTCTTAAAGCTGAGTAGTACTCCATGGTGTACATATACCACATTTTATTAATCCACTCATGTATTGATGGGCACCTGGGTTGTTTCCACACCTTTGCGATTGTGAACTGTGCTGCTGTATACATTCGAGTGCAAGTGTGGGAGCCTATTTTATATGAAATGATGACAGGAGAAATTTACTGAAGTGATGGAAACAGGAATAGAAGGGAGGGGGCAGATGTTGGCAATATCAGGAAGTGCAGACACATGGTAAGTCTGGAGTGCTTTTGTGGCTATTAATGAGATTTAAATTTGCCACCTAAAACTACTGTCTGTTGTTCTCGTCACTGTTGTTCATACGTGGACATTCATCTGCTCACCCAGGATCTTATTTTGCCAGCTGTGTATTTTCATGCAGCATTTATGGAAGGATAGTAGTAGCCTCCTGGTACTATTAATGGTGGCCATTGGTGTCCTGTGAGTTTTCAAGAAACGCTCCTGTTAGGGTCATTGATTTGTTGCTGTGTATTGTTTTATTGCCCAATGACTGGCATTTGATCCTGGGCTGACCAAAGTAGAATTTGAAACGGAAAGAATGGTCCAGTGGGAGAGATGGCTTCTTGGGCATCCGTACTGCATTTTTAGGCCCTTTATGCATACTGACTTGGATGGAGTTCAGTGTGAGCAGTTCCGGTGGATGGATGTATTTTAATAGATGCCATTTTTAATCATCTTAAACCCTATTTAAAATTTAACTTTGGTGAATGAGCTCTCATTATTTTCTATCCTGCAGCAAAGGTTTATCCAGAAGAAATTACTCCACTCTTGCCAGCCATATCGGGGGAGAAGATTGCTGAGGACCAAACCTGCTTTTTTCTTCAAATACTTTTGAAGTATATGGTTATTCAGGTCAGGGAAAAATCGTAAATATTTCAGTGATGGGCTTATCTCAGTAGGAAAGAGAAAATACTGCCTGTTTCCTCTCTTGTGTGTCCATATTTTTTCTTTTTGCATTTTCTTTGAGGTGATGTTATGTGATAGTTTACTCAACAAAGAGTATGTGCCATTGCTAGGTCTATTCAGCAAGATCAGGCATACATACTATTTCGTGTGCTCATGTTTAAAGTGTTTTTTCCTCTTCATCCCTTCCCTACCCCTGATCGCCATGCTTGCGAGACAGGATGGAGGAGGAGGCAGGCCCAGAGGCTGAACGGGTAGACCAGAACCAGGCAGAGCAGACCAGGAGATCTGAAGGAAAGCATATGTAATGATCTCATCGTGCTGCCAGCACAGGCCTACTTTATGTCATATATTCCTTTATCTTATGTTTGCCAACTACATACAGACCTGAAATCATTAGTTTATGATTTTAATAGGTGATACGTGTGTCTCTTGGTCTATATTTCTGACCATTAATATGGTTAGAATAAAACCTACTAATTCTTTTTTCTCTGTGAACACTTCTGTTGTTCCTGAGTTCCTCCTGGGTACAGTCCAGTCTGTCTTCACCTTCACAACCGAGTTGTTGAAGTATTACCTGTCTTCTGCCCTGCCTCTGCTGAAATTGCAGGCCCTGGACGACAGAGGCGTTCTGATGGCCAGTCCAGAGGGAGGGCAGGCACTCTTCAGTTTTTGTTCTCATTCTTTGAGGTTAATGGATAGTGGGTATCCCTCCTTCATAAGATTCTCTCTTCTCATGATGTTTTCTTCTGTTTTTTCTCCTCCCGTTCTTTTACCCCTTCCAGTTTTCTTTAGGGAACTGTTTTTTTCTCTGCTGTCCTTCAAGAGTCAGTATTTGGCTGTCCTTTCTCACTACTCAGTCTTGCTGGGCAAATTTGTCCCCTTTCTTCCTCTGTTTCCTTTGGCCAGCACCAGAAACACAAGGACTTCAAAATCCTGAAAGCCCAACTGGGACAATCTTCTGGAAACTCCACATTTGAATTCTGATTGTCTGTTCTGTATGCACCTCAAATGCCACTTGTACAGAAGTGGTTGGAGATTCCCTTTGTTTTGGGAAATCAACAGAGTATTTAGAACTTGGATGTGTTGGGGGCCTTCGGTTCTCATTCTGGATGTGTCACTAATGAGTTGTGTCACCTCGGATAAGTCATGTAACCCCAGGGACCACCCTTAGGGAGAGATGGTGTTGATACAGGGTAGAGGTTTGTATGCAGACCTCGAACCCCCAAAGTGTGTGCAGAGTTTTATGTGTGTGTCTGTACCTCCCTCCTGCTTTCCCTCCTGTCTATTGGGTTGAGTTCTGAGAGCAGAACTTCTGACAGGTTATGGACACTCAGCCCCTCTGTCCTTGGGGCAACCAAATCACCCCATCTTTTTACCTGAGGTGATGAACAAATATTATCATTTTCTAAGTGGGCATGTCATGAAGGAAGTTGGGAAGCTCTGCTTTAGAGAGCTCTGTGGTCTAATAAGTTTTAAGAACCACTGACAAGTCTTCTCTAAGATCCCTCTCTGTACCATGTTTCCCTAAGAAATGTGGGAGTAACTGGGCTGTCCTCATTTTAGAATGTTCTACCATGCAAACACTGTGACGGGCTTTTGAGGGAGAGACTATTATCTCAACACTATGAAAGCTTTAAACACAATCCATAGCTGGGCTACTGGGCCTGGTTATTTTAGCCTGTGAATTGTTTTTAATAAGGAGAATACATTTTCCAAGATTCCAGAGCTTTTGCCTTTTGATATTGATTTTGCATGTAGGTAACATTGGATGAAATCCTTGAGAAGGGATTGTTTCTTTAACTCCTGTTTATTATAAATGGCCTTTTTTGAGTTTAGAAAACAAACAAACAAACACCTAATTATTTCCAACTAAATGTTTTGAAGGCACACATAATGATAGATCATTACAAAGGACAGGTAGAAAAAATATGGGCATGAAATAGTAGAGCAAGTTTGAAAAGATATATCATTGGGTGATTTTAAAAAACTCAGTAAAAATGCTGTTTTTAACAGCTACTGTTTTGAAGTATTCATTTCTGTCATCTTTTGAGCTTTGTTAAGATATTTCATTACATGACTGTCAATATTATTTGTCACATTTTAAAATTTAGGGTAGGAATTTTAATAACATAACATCATTTTAGTTTAGTGTATGTTAATTTGAAATGTAAATATACATTATGTTCTTTTCCACATGTTATCCAAAGGCTGCGAGCTTGGAGTGGAAGAATAAGGAGAATCGAGATACCGGTTTTAAATTTCTTTTCACATTGTTTCGGAAATATTATCTTCCTCATTTATTTCCATCATTTACTAAGTTAACAAACATCTACAAACCTGTGCTTGGTAAGTACTGTTTGAGCTGTGTATAGAGGACATCCACAGGAAAGCTGTACAGTCTCTTCCAGAGTGACCTTTGATAGTTACTTTATCCTCATTATTGAATGGTAACTTTACTATAAGAGGTTTAAAGTTTCCTGGTAAGGTTTTTTAGTTATTTGTACCAACCAAGATGTACCACAACTCACAGCAATAAGGGAGAATTGTGGCCCCTACACTCAGAAATAATTTGAGATGTATCATGATACTTTTGATGAAATTATATTGATCATTTTTAATGTAAAAAGCCTGCATTTCCTGAAGTCTTCACTTGTGGGTGGTGGGTCTTGTGACCCTAGACCTTGCTCAGTGACTGGGCAGCACAGCCTAGGGCACACAGCTGCCCGTAGCATGCCCTTTCTTTTATGCTGGACCTTGCATCCAGCTGATACACTGACAGTTGCTTATGGAGGGCAGATTTTTGGGTCATTGGACAGGCTACGGACAGTAAGCCCAGAGGGCTAGGAAACATAAAGGAATTTCTAATGTAGTTCCTAAAGTTTTACTTCTAGAAGAAATGAGGACTCATAGGACATAAGCGTTCCTTAGAGTGGTGAAGGTGGGGGGGAAATCTTCCTCTCTCTGTTATTTAAAACAGGTGAAATGAGTTCAAATAAATAATCAAGAACAGTGCTGGAGAAGAAAGGTTACAAGGGACATTTTCTGGGGAACATAACAAACTAATTCATTTGTCTACATTCACACAAGGGGTCTGCTGAAGCTTGGTGCATTTTGAAAGATGTAGAAGTACTGACTGTTAGGGGTATTGGGATGTGTATTTTCTTAGCTATATATATGTGGGTATTTTTTCAAAATTTTGTTTCTGATTTTATATGTAGTCTATATTCATTGTAAAAAACATGGTGTATTTTTAATATCCCTAGATTAGAAGTTAATTGTTGAGAATTTTTCTATCTCATGCAGGCCTTCCAGATATACAAAACTTATCTGAGATAAAGAGTTAGATTTGTGGCAAGTAGTGTCTCAAATACAATATAATATAATTTTCATATTGATTATGGAATTTAAAGAATGCAAAATGAACCTCTTATTAATTCTTTGGGAAAGGTGGCATTTGATATCTCAAAGATAAACTGTGACTTTCTGAATTCATTTAAATATAGAGTAGATTATATTGATTCTGTTTCCTTGGAGTCATCTAAAAGGAAAAGGTCGTAAAACTAAAGTTCAGTGGGTTTAATCAGTGCAGTGTTGGATATTAAAATATCTAAAATGATTTTTAAAATGTTCAAATATGCTTTTACCTTTGTTCTAGCCTTAAAATAAGATTAAATTAGGTAGAATCTATGTGAAAAGATTTTCACTGTTATAGTCTCATCTAATTTCTCAAAATTGTTAAAAAGAGTTGTTAGCTTTGTTTTTCTATAGCTGTATACCATAGCCATATGTAAACAATAACAAGCACCACCCCTTCTTGGTCAGATTCAAAGGCAGAATCAGAAATGAGTGCACCAAAAGATGCCATTTTTAATAATTTATGGTTCTTCATTTTTAGTTGCTCCTCAAACAGCAAATATATGTTTGTTTAATTGGAAACAGAAACATTTGGTAGGGGTTACTTAATGCTAAGTTTCTCTAACCTAATCAGTCATGTGTTCTCTTTTTTACTAGACATCCCTCATTTGAGACCAAAGCCAGTGTACATTACTACAGTTCGAGACAATGAAAACATTTACAGTACAAAAATTCCCTACATGGCAGCTCGTGTTGTTTTTATTAAGTGGATTGTAACTTTCTTTTTGGAAAAGAAACTAACTACAACACAAAACACTAAAAATGGAGTTGACGTATTGCCTAAAATCATCCAGGTATGCCATTCTTCATCTTTTTATCTCTTAATACAAAGTATTGATTATTAGAGTTATTGGTTCTTACAGGTTGTTGGTTATAAGGAATCATTTTATTTGCCCACTCTGTGATGCTGAGGGTTCAGAGGGAGCTGCAAGTTAGAAGTGCTTGCTGTGCGCTCTTGGAGTTGCCATGATGAGGCAGTCTCAGGGGCAGGGGAGCCACTCTGAGAAGACAGCTGTTGTGTGCACACTCCTGACTCTCCTGCATGCTCACTCCTTCACTCCAGTACAAGTGACCTCAGCATGAGAACAGAGGCTTGTCTTGCCTTTGCCTGTCCCCGGTACCTGGAAGGCTCTCAGGAAATGTGCAGGTGGCCCATGGGACGGGATCCGTGAGGCTGCCAAGTGATCTCTGGCATCTCAGGGGAGGGAACTAGATCAGCAGCTCAGGATTTTGGGCTGATTGTTGAGATTTGTTAGGATCTCTAGAAGAGAAGGTGACCTCTCCCCAAGGCCTTGGAAAAGAACTTTTCTTATCTAGGACTGGGTATGCGTGCTCTTGCTTGGCCTTGGTCAGACACAAACGAGGGCTTTTCCAGCAGGCTGAGTTGCTTAGGGACTTTGTATTTGGTAGAGCACTATCACTTGTGGAGATCTCGAGAGGAGCTACTTCACTGAGGAGTCATGGTTTTGTGTGCTTTTTGTTTCTCGTTCCCAAGAACAGGGACAGGAAGTGTGATCCACTTACTGCAGGTTTGCTTATAATGCCCTGGAAGTTCCAGAATTATGGCCTAGGCCTGAGCTGGGCAAATACACAAACCTGAGGAGGCAGATAAATGGTCCATGTGCTTTAAGGTTGTTAGGAAACTTTGATGGAGGAACACCAAAGTCTAGAGCATGTGGCTCCACGGAAGAGTTAGAGGAGAAACTTAGTTTCAAAAAAGTCTGAGGGAGCTACAATTACAGTAAGAACAGCAAAAGACTTTTTGAAAGTTTAAAAAAACCCTTTAAACTTCTTAATTTAAAAATATATTAGATAAATGAAATTGGTAATGATCACTGTTGAGAACAAAATTAGTTTTCTGAGAAAATCCACAACACTGAGTAAAAATACAAAGAGACAGAAATCAGAAAGTAGTAGACAAGACCTAAGGACAGGTCCAGACTTACCTTGCAAATATTATACAGACAGAAGAAGAAAAGAATGAGTGGTAATTGAACAAACAAGAAGAGGAAAAGTTTACCTGAGCTGAAAAAAAGACATGCTTTAGACTAAAAGGGTCTTTGAGTCCCAGGAAAAATTAGCAAAACAGATACCTAATAGACATTTGACTTTCAGGGATTAAGAGAACACTTTATAGGTTTCCAGACAGAAACCTATACAGGTTACTATATAGGTTACTATATAGGGTACTTCAAAGGAATGAGACTGGTGTTAGTGTCGAACATCTAATCAAACCTGCAACCCTGGAAGCTGGAAGAACATTTGCACTTCTATCTCCCTTTCTCTCTCCCACTTTCTCTTTCTATTTCTTTCTCTGTCTTTCAAAGGATGACATCTGTCAGGATCAAAAGAAAGAATCATGGGCAATATACGTAACCTTAACACTTGTACCCCCATAATACGCTAAAATAAAATAAAATAAATAAAAAAAATAAATGATGTTGACATAATTGGTTAGAACCTTGCCACTTAAAACACATAAGCAAATGTCAGATTAATTTAAGGTCCACAATAAAAACAAAATCATGAATTTGAGAGAAAGGAAAATCTAGGGGAGTATATACATTTGGGAAGTGGTAGAGTACCTTAAGTAGAAATAAAACCTAAAAGTCATAGAAGAAATGAGGTTTGACTTTATTAAAATACATAGAGAAATATTTTTATGTTAGAAGATAACATAAAGCCAAATCCAAGCAATAGACTATGAAGTAACATCCTGACTGTTAAAAGAGTTAATGTTGGCCGAGGGTGGTGGCTCACGCCTGTAATCCTAGCACTCTGGGAGGCTGAAGTGGGCGGATCATTTGAGCTCAAGAGACCAGCCTGAACAAGAGCTAGACCCCATCTCTATTAAAAATAGAAATTAATTGGCCAACTAAAAACATATAGAAAAAAATTAGCCGGGCATGGTGGCACATGCCTGTAGTCCCAGCTACTCGGGAGGCTGAAGTAGGAGGATTGCTTGAGCCCAGGAGTTTGAGGTTGCTGTGAGCTAGGCTGATGTCACAGCACTCTAGCCTGGGCAATATACAGTGAGACTGTGTCTCAAAAAAAAAAAAAAAAAAAAAAAGTTAATGTCTGCTATTTAAAGAGTGCCTACAGACTGCTGGGAAGACAACCTTGTTGAAAACCAGACAAAGGAGGTGAATGGGCAGTTTGTAGAAGAGGGACTACGGTGATCCACATTTCACCACCAGTCAGGGAAATGCAGTTATTAATAGTTCTGAACCATGATGAGGTACCTTTATTACCCATCAGGTAGACAAAAACTAAAAAGTTATCAGGTAGACAAAAATCTGTATGAAATTATGTGTCAGAAACTCAGTCACACTCTTAGGTAAATTTTCTATTACATCTTATATGATTGTCACTCAATTATAAACAGTCTCAATGAAAGGATGTAACCTTTCTTCTCTGGTTTCAAAAGATTGGAAAACCATCACCTGTATATATTGAAAATAAATTGCTCATTTTTTAAAAATGCACCTGGATAATGAGAAGTAGAAAGGATAGAAAATTAAGCACTGCTTCAAAATTCTAATTTTTTTCCTCAGTTGACTCTTCACAGTTATGAGTCATCTACTTTTATTATCTAGCTTTTTTAGTGTCTTAAGGGTTGGACCTCATGAATCAATTAGGATCATTCCATCATCTTCACAGAAAAGGGCAGTGGAACTCAAATTGCTGTAAACGTAAAAGAAGTATTTTAATGTTATTAAAAAGCACGTGAGGAGAGTGGCTGAGAATATGGTTCACTCACACTTTCCTGCTGCTTCTCTGTGGTTTTCTCTGTTCTGCCCTTTTTCCTCTGACAGTTTTGTCTGCAGCTTCCCCCTTGATTGCAAGATGGCTGCCAGCAGGTAGGCACTGTTTTCCTTATTCATGTTTTAGAGGCAATCCAGAATTATAAAGCCCTTCCCTTTTGTCTGAGTGGAACAACTTAGGTTACATGCTCACCTCTAGAACAGTAATGAGGCACTAATTAACTTAAAGCTGGGTATGTGATTGGGCCTGGAGGTGCCATGCTTGGCTTCCACAAACAGGAAAGTCCCGATGTACTTTGTAGGGGGTCTGCTTCCTGTGAGTCACCTGGGTGTGTGGGAGGAGGCACACTGAGCACCGAGGTTCTGGTAGGGAGGGGGAGTCGATGTTGGGCAGACAGCCATCTGTGCCCACTGTGCTTCTATACTCTGCCGATGGCTTTGCCTAGAAATGGCCACTGCTATTGTAGAGCCTTTCACTGTATCTCATAGTAAGTTATAGTAGTTTTTTACTGTCACTGTAGTAAATTCCCACACACTTCATGGCTTGAAATAACACAAATTTGTTATCTTACAGCTCTGGAAGTCAGAAATCCAAAATCAGTCTCAGTTGGCTAAAAGTGGTATTGGCAGATCGGTGTTTTTTCTGGAGTCTCTAGGGAAGGATCCTGTTTTCTTGCTTCGTCTAGCTTCTAGAAGCACCTACAAGCCGTGGCTGTAGCCCTGTATCACATCACTATTTCTCCCTCTGCATCCATCATCACATTGCCTTTTCGTTCTCTGATCCTCCTGCCTCCCTCTCATAAAAACCCTTTGATTACATTTGGGACCAACTAGATAATCTAGGATAATCTCCCTATCCCACCATCCTTAACTTAATCACACCTGCTAAGTACCTTTTGCCATATAAGGTACCACATTTACAGGTTCTGGGGGGTTAGGTTGTGGATGCCTTTGGAAGATCATTATTCAGTTGATCACAGGTGATTGGTCTGTAGGGTCCACAATGACTTCATTCCCATGCCTGTGACTTTGGTGGGGGCAGTGGGAAGGCTGGGCTTGTCTGGGGCTCCTTTCCATGTTGTCTTGCTAGCAGGGTGGTTGGACTTCTTACACAGCTGCTCAGGGCTCCAAGAGCAAAATGTTTCAAGACATGGGAAGTGCTAACTGTCAACCTCTTGGACCTGGGTCTGATGCTGGCACAGGTCCCTTCCTCTCTGTTCTACTGGTTAAAGCAGTCACATAGTCCATGCAGATCAAAGGGAGAGAACATAGACTTCACCTCTCTGTGGAAAGAGTATCAAAGAATTTGTGATCATCTTTAATTTGCTATATATGTACATGTTGTTTTCTTTTTTAGTATGTGGGGAAAATGGGAGATATTAGTCAAAAAGGCATAGGTTATTAAGCCATAAGAGATATTTGGCCTAATCTAACCTCTGTGCTCTACAGATTAAAAAAATATATATATAAATAATATTTAATATATATGAAATCCAAGTGAGTTAAGTGGCTTGCCTTATAGTTAGGAATGTGTAGAAGCAAGTCTTTGGATACTTATTCTGAGCCCCTTTTTTCTGTATTATATTCATCTTATTTTTGAGTCATTTTTACTAAAGCTTCAGATAAAAAAGAATAAAATCAATAAAATTTTATTTTTCTGTGGAAGATTGTGGATCCATCAAAAAGATGAAATAATTTCTACGGGGTAGCTCATCTCACAGTGTGACAGTGCCTTTGATAAGCCATACAGGCTTAGTAACTAAGGCATGAAGAGAAAAATTATTATAAATACAATCTTCCATTAATTTTCCCTAGAGATTACTATTGGATATCTGTTTTGTTTTCAAACTGTCCTTGGTAGTTACTGAAATTACAGTTTTGTACTACTCATGTCTTATCTCTTCTTATAAAAAATATTCACAGTGGGTAAAATTATAGTGGTATTTGGGCTATATATTTTTGACACTTAAAAGTAATAATGGAGTTTACAAAGATGAATCAAAATTATACATATATTACGTTTGAAAGCAACCTTTAATTCTATGGAGAAATGAGAGCAGAATTAAACTTTGTGAGTCATTGCATAAATTACTTTATTTCTTTGTGCTCTTAAAGTCTTTTAAGTATTTAAAATTTTGTAAATATTTTAGTTAAGTTTGACCTGAAATTCTGAGGATAAAACTCAGATCAAGATTATTCTTATTAAATACCCTTTAATGGTCTTGGCATTCCAGCATCATCAAGGTGCCACTTAGTCTTTTGAATCAAATGATGCATCCCAACATTGCTGCCATAAGAAGTGCCCTGAATTTTCAAACCTCTGTAGACCATAGAGTAAATGCTGAAGTGTGGAGCCCTGATGTGATAATAACACAGATGCATGGGCACATTAACTTATCCTGTGCTTTTACAAATGCAAATTAAACTTTTTAGGTGGATAAAATTTCACAGCATTCCTCCCTGAAATACTTGAGTAGCTTTTCTCTTAAAATAAGTGAATTGGGAAGGGATTAGTTTTTAATTAGAAAACTGGTAGGTACAGATTCTGGATCATGTTGTGCTTCAAGCAGTTGGTAGTTTTCAGCTTGCTCTACCCTGTGCAAGTTGGTGGTAACCAGAGTTCTTGAAAACAAGGCAAGACATTAGTCTTAGGTGTTCTTGACTGGGGATAAGGGTCGCTGAGAAATATGATGACTCTCTTCCAGTCTGTTGGAGGTGGTGTCGTGCAAGAGAGGGCGCCTGAGTTGGATGGTGGTGGGCCCACAGAGCAGGACAAAAACCATTCTAACAGCAGCACCTTGTCCGACCGAAGACTCAGCAATTCCAGTCTCTGTAGCATTGAAGAAGAGCACCGAACGGTGTATGAAATGGTGCAGCGGATTCTCTTGTCAACACGAGGTTACATCAATTTTGTGAATGAAGTATTTCACCAGGTTAGTGTGTGTGTCAGTTCATGAAATAAATGAGATTGTTGTTCTTTTACTCACAATACTCCAAGAAATACTATTAATGAATTGTGATAAATTACAGAACCGAATAAATATAATAATGATCCTTCTAATTCCACTTTTAATTTGTCATGTGGGTTGTTGTGATATTGATTGTGTTTTTTTGGTGTGATTTTTAAATTTTGTTTTTTAAAAATTTCTACACAAAGAGGGAAACTTCTATATCTGAGCAAAATCATGTGACAAATAGCTTCATGTTTCCATAACAAACTAAACTAAACCCAGAGGTAGATGGGAAGAAAGCATTTTTGAATGCCCAGCAACAGATGTACATAGCAAAGAAGAGACTGGACTTGTTCCTAGCACCTCAGGGTGCTCTCTGATGAGCTGGAGATTTCTGCAGAAGTGGTGCTTTCTCTGAAAAGGCATGTGATACTTACATATGATAGAAGTATTTATGGCATGAGAGAAAAAAGGTGGGTGGCAAGTGGAATAAAAGGAGTGGAGGCTGAGACAATGGAATAACAGACCTGTGGTAGAAACTGTGGTGGGTGAGAAGGTGCTGGAAAGAGCAGAAGTGTGAAGAAGAAAAGAGATGCAAGCAAAGGAAGGAACAGAAGAGATCAGAAGCCCAGGCTGTGATTAGCAGCCGTGAGCAACATCAGAGGTTTGCAGCCAGGGCTGATTCTGTCCCCAGGGATCACTGAGCAATGTCTGGAGGCAGTTTGGGTTATCAAACTGGGGAAGGGGTGCTACAGGTATCCAGGGGGTAGCAGCCAGGGATGGTTGTTAATCATCCTGCAATGCATAGATGCATCCTGCAATGCATGTGTCCACTACCACTATCCCACCCAGCATATATGTAGTTGCTGCTGTGGTGGAGTTTTGAGCTGTAGCCCTTTGACAGAGGCAAGCAGAGCCTCGATGTTATAGAGTACCCCACCCTACAGCTCTGGAGCGTGGGGTGGAGCTAGTTGCCACATGCATCTGGGTCCTGGTGCTCTTGAAAACAGGGAACATGGCTTGTTTGTGGGCAGGAGAGTATGATGGGGGAATAGTTGTTTTGCCTGTATACCCCAAAAGAGGGTAAGGCCTTTGAGTGACAGAGATCAGTTATAGGTGAGGAGGGAGCCTTGACACTGATGAGTGGTGCAAATACACTATGGAGAACTTTTATGGCGAGGCAAGTTTTTGAGATAGTGAATGATTAACCCTCTCATTTCTGGAACTTTTATTAAAAAAAAATCAATCAAGAATGAAAATTGAAGCATAATACACAGCAATGTGGAAGTTTTACCATATTTTCATTTTAATGAATAAAAAGATTTTACTTAAAATGTCTGTTTAGTCTGTAAAATTCTACTTTTAAAATATTTTTCTGATTCTGTGGCTCAGGACTCTCCCTTGCTCAAGCTGGTCTTGAACTCCTGGCCTTAAGCGATCCCCCCATCTTGGCCTCCCAAAGTGCTAGGGTTACAGGCATGGAGAGGTCTTTTATACCTCACTAATCACATAGCCAAAATTAGTCTGAGTGACCAGGTAAACCAGGTATAGTCCATCAGTCTGTAGGTTTTCACTAAACAATGTAGACAAGCTGACACTGGATGCCTTTTAAAATGCCCACCTGCTATCTCATCTATGTTCCTGTGGCTTTTTTTTTTTCTTCCTTAGGGCTGGGGTCTTGCTTTGTCATCTAGGCTGGAGTGCAGTGACATGATCTTAGCTCACCTAACCTCGAACTCCTGGCCTCAAGAGATCCTCCCACCTCAGCCTCCTGACTCACTGGGCTTACAGACATGAGCCACTGTGCCCGGCTCCTCTTTTATCTTAATGATAACAAGGCGAAAGCCTAGCTCATTTTCTTCCCTAACATTAGCTTCTCCTCCTGACTTGACAGCTTCTTAAAGGGACAGGTCCCTTTAAGATGCACGTCTGCATCTTAATTTTAGATCCCCTGGGCTTTCCGTCTCCCTCTCATATGACCAGTCACTGTGCAAGTCATGCAGGAGCTTTGTTCACCTCCTTTCTCTCCTTTCCTTTGACTGTGGTTGGCAGCCTACTCCTTAGGCTCCTTGAGGCCCCCCTCCTTTTGTATCATTCCTTTCTTATTTATACCACACATATTATGTTGCCAAAGCATTCTTTTTTTATCGTAATAGCTCATGATTTTAAAGTCTACCTTATTCCCTACATTAATGTTGTCATATTCATTTACATGTTGTAAACAGCGCTTGGTAAATATTTAATTTGAGTTGAAATAGTTAAGATCCTGGCATGCGTATGATCTATAGCAGGGGTCAGCATATTTTTACAGCAAAGGGCCAAATAGTAAATATGTTAGGCTTCATGGATCTCTCTTGTAGCTATTCAACTCTGCTGTTGCAGCAAGAAAGCAGCCCTAGACAATATGTAACAAACAAGCATGGCTATGTTCCAAAAAACTTTGTTTACGAGAAATCAGGTGGTAGGCTGAAGTTGGCCTATGGGTCATAGATTGCTGACTCTGATCTATATAGTAATGTTTTAAAACCCTTGGATGAAAATGCCTCATTTCAGACAAAATATCTTTAGCAAGCCTTTTAAATGTTATATTAATACAAGAGGTAAGTGCTATATTGATGTGGTTTTACCTTTATGCGTAATTGTTAATTTATCATACACATAGTTCTGTCTGCCACTATTATTGACATTCCACCCCTGGCAAGGGTATGCTCAAAATTCTAAATTAAATCTAAATCCTAAACCCAATCTAAATTTACGTAAATAAAGAACCATACACAAATTTTGGATTCTAAGTCAGTGATAGGCATTCTGAAATGTTTAGGGAGGAAGTATACTGATGTCTGTAGCTAACTTTGAAATAAATAAAAATTAAAATAAATTTAAGGAAGATGGGGGTGGGTTGATGGATAAATATGTGATAAAGCAAATATAACAAATGCTAATTTTAGAATCAAGGTGGTGAGTATATGCATGTTCACTGTAAAAGTCTTTTTTCACTTTTTTGTCCATGAAAATTTTTATAATAAAACTTAGGGAAAAAATTATAGTAGGCTACCATTATATTTTGTTAAACTCTTTTTTTGTCTGTTAATTTTTCTTGAGATACAAATCAGCATATTTTATATATTGATACATTATAGTTTTGTTATAACACAAACTCCTCTGTTCTTGAATTTGATATGATGTGACTCCTGTCCATAGAAATTTATATATTGCATGAACCCTTGTTAAAGTGAACTCTGCCTGTAACTGGATCCTATGGTATGAACCTTAAGGGCAGTATTAAAACAATCCTCAGAAACTTGAGATCAAGACCTGGATTTATGACTAACTAACTAACTTTGTAACCTTGGGAAGATATCTTTGGCACTCTAGGCCTCAGTATCCTTGTCTGTGGCATTAAATAGTCATCTAACTGTGCAATACCTCTCTTTCCAGCTTACCTTGATATAGAAGTAGCTGTTAAAACCAATAAGCAAAAGGCAAATGCATTTTCCCTTTAAATTCTTGTTAATGTTTTAGAATCTTACCACATTAAATCAAAATTCTTGTGTGCAGATGTTTAAGGGAATTCCTTAATATTGAAAAGTTCTTACAAATATGCACAATGTTACAAATTGTCGGTGTCTCTAGTTAACATTGGTAGCTGTACTCGGTGGTATCTTGATAAATGTTGAAAAACTGGCTCTCTCACACACACAAAAGGCAAAGCCCTGATTTATAGCATATGTCAACTTCTGTAATGTAATTATTCCCACCATGGCCAATTCAAGCCACCATCATAATGTCACTGAACATGGAGCAGAGAAGAGATGGACACAATTGGCTACCACCGGCTGTACTAGTATGTCTATTATCTTATAACCTATTTCTGATTCTTTGGGAAAAGTTCCAAGTTATACAATTAAAATTGTTCATATAGCAAATTAAAATATTTGTATAGGTATATTGTGTTTTTTATGGAAAAATTATTCAGCATATAGAAGTTATTTTTAAACTGCCATTATGTTCTCTGGCTCAATTTTTTTTTTTGCCTTTATTTTTATTTTTTTTAAAAATTATTTTCTTTTGATTTTAGTGTATTATGGGGGTACAAGTGTTAAGGTATATACTATATTGCCCATGTCCTCCTCCCCTCTAAAGTAAGAGCTTCAAGCGTGTCCATCCCCCAAACGTTGCACAACTTGTTGTCGTTATCAATTTTGAGGATGTGTTTTTTTCCTCAGATGAGTTTGGTGTGCACAAAGATATGTGACGCTATGTAGTATATTTATAATCTGTTTCAAAGGAAAGTCTGAAATCAGTGGTGGTCATTGGAAATGTCTATGATGCATCTTTCTAGTGATCTGAGTTTGAGTGGAATTAAAGGGGAGTTTTTTCTTTTCCTTTCAGGCCTTTTTGTTGCCTTCCTGTGAGATAGGTGTAACAAGAAAAGTAGTTCAAGTGTACAGAAAGTGGATCCTCCTAGACAAACCTGTCTTCATGGAGGAACCAGAGAAAAAAGATGTTGCCCAAGAAGATGCGGAAAAATTAGGATTTTCAGAGACGGATAGCAAGGAGGTAATCTTACCACTTGTCTTTTGAGTTGGGAGTATATATATGTTAGCAAAGTGTACTTGCTCCGTCAAGGATCCCAGTCAATGGGACACAGGCAGGTGTATCTCTTCTTTTATCCTGGCACTCTCAAGTTGCTGAGTTCTGTGAGGACCTGCCTTAGAGAGGCAGCTGCTGTGGTCTATTCTAGATCGGCAGTCATCTCCTAACACTCTGGCTAGGGTCGAGTGCACATTGCAGCTTTGTTAGTCACTGTTGCAGGAGAGTTGTTTTATAAGCCATCATATTTTTTTCACTGTGTGATACTAAAAAATGTCTCTGTTTTTTCCTTGACTTGTTTAAATAGTATTTGGAGAAACTAAACTTAGAATTTTTTGGCAGACTTTTCTTTGCAGTGGCCCGTATCAGAGCCCTTGGGATGTTACACATGTGGAAGGACTAACCCAATAGCAAGTGTTACCTCCACTGTTACAGCTCACTGCAGTGCTAAGTTCTGTCCCCCTGAAGAGGACACTGTCCATGTTAGGTAAAGCTGGACAGTTGGATAAATCTAAAACAACAGAGTGGAACATCTTTTTGAAACAAATAAAAACTTAGTCATATTCATATTTCTGTCATGTTATTTTGAAACTAACTTAAAATGTTTAAAATTCTTCACTAGAGGCATGCCACTTTTAAATTTCTATATTAATGCTATCATTTTGATTTTTTGATATTGGTAAAATCATTTTAATAACAACCATGAAGTCCAAGTAAATAGGTAAGCAAATAGAATTCATCACTCATTTTAAAGGCCTCCACGTTCCCTCAGTCTTTGAACAAACATGGCTCATTCTTTCAGCACATACTAAGTGCTGAGCACTATTTTAGGTGCTGAAGGTAGAGTGCTAAGCAAACAGAGAAAATATTTGCCCTCTTGGAACCTATTCTTTTGTGAATCCTGGTGAGTATAAGGAATTAAATATGCAGATGCGTGCATCTTCCTGCTCTGTTAATGGATTGTTATTTTCTGAAGGCCTCATCTGAAAGTTCTGGTCATAAGCGATCTTCCAGTTGGGGACGCACGTACTCCTTCACAAGTGCAATGAACAGAGGGTGTGTGACAGAGGAGGACAATACGAATGTGAAAGCCGGAGCCCAGGCTCTGATGCAGGTATGGGGCTGGCTAAGACACAAAGACCAAAGACCCTCCGAGTTGGAGTAATTATAAACAATTGGGGATAATGTCATATAGAGTGTGGTGATATTTTTAGCCATCTGTCACTAAACAGCTCTTAAATTGTTGTTCTATGTTTTTTTCCTGTTTTATACCTACAATTTGTAAAGATTTTTTTCTTGTCAAAGAAGTATAAGAACCAGTTATAATTTTTTGAGAGGGATTATTATACAGTGAATGTGAAATTACGGAGATTTAAATCTTAAAAGTATCTTCCAAACACATATGGATAGTTGTCTGGACTCTAATTTTCAAGACAAGCTTGGTGATTATATAATCTTATAAGTGATAGTCTTCTTAAAATTGCCTGTGTTTATGAAGAATGATGACTGATATGGTAGTTTTTAGATGTTTGAATGAATGAATATATGAAATAGAACCGACATCATTTGGGAACATTGAAAAGAACAACTTTGGCTCATCATTTAACCTCTGCAGAGCTCAGGATTTTATCTCAAAAATGAGGATTGGGAGATTACTTTACAGCTCCCACCTAGCTTGGAGGATGTTGGCTATGCAGGTGAAAATATAGGGTGTCGCTTGTTCCCCTGCTCTCTGCTCCCACTCCTTATTCAAGTTTGTAGCTGTGTCCAGTGAGGCTTCCCTCATAGAGGCCACTTGTGAAGTCTGGGGAGAGTGTGGGAATGGCATGTATGTTACCCGGTTTCTAGTGATGTTTTTTTCTGTCATCTGTCTCTTGATAGTATTCATTAGCGTGGCATCCTTTTTATTTTCAAGCTAATTAGCAATTTGGTATACTATACTCATGAATTTTCTTATTTTTTATTGAAAATCAGGAAATAATTTTGAAATTAACGAAATCAAGATGATTTTGCTTGTACAGCTTCAAAGTACTTTGGTGTAGCTCATAAGTATAACCTGTGTTCCCATCAGAGAAATATGTGGAGGAGTCCTTGCCCTTTGTTCCCCAGAAGCTCCCTCCGTGCAGGTGGATCGCCATCATCAGCCTGTGGGGTTGCGAGTGCCAGTGACCTCACTGGGTTCAGAAGAGTGCTTTTTGTTTTCTGGAAGGATAAGTTACATCTATAGAAAGTCCTCACTTAATGCTGTCGATAGGCTCTTGGAAACTGTGACTTTTAGCAAAGTGACGTATAACAAACCATTTTTTGTCATCAACATCATAATGAAATGATGTTGAATGAAACAGTGTTATTTGAGGACCTGCTGTTACAGTTTCCAAGAACTTATTAAAGATGTTAAGTGAGGACTTACTGTCCTTGGATGAACCAACAAAAAAATTTTCTACTTGATTATAATATAGTTTTAAAAAGTATTTAGTTTGGATTTAGATAGTTGGTTTTGTTTTCATATTCAATATCTTTACTCTGTTCATTAGGGAAATATGGCTAAATGGAGGTTTGATAAGATGGTAGTCTTCTATATCTGCTTTTGACAAGTACAGTCTAGACATACTAATCTTGTTTGTTTATTTTTACCTTTACTGATACAACCACACTAATAAGAAATATTCATTCAGTTGGTATTTTGATGTTTTGTAAAATGTGTTATGTATGAAAACTCCTTACTTTTACTTGGTAATGTGTTAAAATTTTGAATTCAAATATAAGAAGCCAAATACATTGCATTAAAAGGATCTATACAGTGTAATATGTCATCTGTGGTATAATTTAAAAAACATAGTCACTAAAACTACACTAAAAACGTCATGGTTAGTCAAAAGTTGTCTGTTTTCTATTTTTGTCTTTTTTTATTTCACAATTTTACAGGGTACACACATTTTGGTTACATAATTTGTTTTTGTACAGTTTGAGTCAAAGTTTTAAGTGTTCCCTTTACCAAGTTAGTACATTATACCCAGTAGGTGTGAATTTACTGATCCTCTCCTCCGCCCTCCCACCTACTTGATTTCCCTTGGATTTTACTTCCATGTTTTCTTTTTTCTTACTTGAAAGCTAGTAAATTCTTCATGATTAATGTTATCACCTATTATCAACTATTATAGTGCTTATTTGGTGTTTTTTCCTAGAAAATTGGGACATGATATCTTTTTAATCTTGCATAAGATAACTTTAGAGGTTGACAACATTTTAGTCCACTCACTTGACTTTTGAGTATGTTGATTTTAGTTTGGTCAGATTATGCATTTATTTTGAGACATTCGTGGCAGTGGATTTTATCCACAAATGAGCCAGAGAAGCTTTGTTTGCTCCCAAAGCCTTTGAGTTTATACTTTTGAACACAAAGGAGAACTAAGAGGAAATATCCCTCTGGATAGGTAGAGCAGGTCCATCGTCACCCTAGATTGACAACTAAGAAGATCTGAAGTTGGCGAGTCACTAGTGTCATCTACGTAATTATTATTATGTAGCACATTATTATTTTATTGTATTAGGTTGGTGCAAAAGTAATTGCGGTTTCAGATGTGAATTTTAAATCATCATAACTAGGCTTAAACACATCTTTATTATCAAAATGGAAATACAGTCAACACTTTTTGCCAATGAGAAATAAGTTTGTTTATTCCTGTAGCATAAAAAGCCATGCTTCGGGATGCCATGAACTCTTGGAAAGCATTTTCTGCATTCTGCTAGTTATGGAAGCATCTTCCCTGTAAGAAGTTGTCAAGATGCAAATGTGATGAGGCAGAACTTCATAGCCCAATTTGTTCAACTTTTGAAGTGTTGATTATGTGACATATGTTTGGGCTCTTTCTGTTGACCACTGCTGGCTGCAGGAGTTGCAGTTTTTGGTGCATCTCATTGATTTGCTGAGCACGCTTCTGAGATGTAATGGTTTCACTGGGATTCAGAAAGCTGTAGTGGATCAGACTGGCAGCAGACCACCAAACAGAGATCATGACATTTTTTTGGTGCAAGTTTGGCTTTGGGAAGTGCTTTGGAACTACTTCTTGGTCCAACCACTGAGCTGATTGTCATATAAAATCCACTTTTCCTCACACGTCACAATCCAATCGAGAATTGGTTCATCATTGTTGCATACAAGAAGAGAAGATGACACTTCAAAATGACAATTTTTTTTTATTTTCAGCTGGCTCATGAGGCACCCACTTATCAAGCTTTTTCACCTTCCCAATTTGCTTCAAATGCCAAAGGACCGTAGAACAGTCAACCTTGAGTTCTTCGGCAACTTCTTTTGTTGTTGTAAGAGGATCAGCTTTGATTGGTCATTGTCACATTGTCATCTTCTGATGGCTAGCCACTGCACTTCTCATCTTCAAGGATCTCATCTCCTTTGCAAAACTTCTTGAACCACCACCACAGTGTACATTTGTTAGCAGTTCCTGGGTCAAATGTGTTGTTGATGTCGTGAGTTGTCTCCTCTGTTTTATGACCCATTTTGAACTTGACTAAGAAAATCACTAGAATTTGCTTTTTGTCTAACATCATTCCATAGTCTATAAAGTAAATATAAAATAAGCAGCAAGTAATGTCATTAGCAAAAAAGCATAAAGCAAGAAATGTACATTAAATGATATATACATAACCACATTTAAGAATGTATTCCAATATCAAAGGGCAAATTTCAACAATGCTAAAACCGCAATTACTTATGCACCAACCTATAAGTTACCCTAAGTATTAATTTACTACATAATAGATTGGATCAGTGCTTCTCGCATTTTTTCTGTTGAGATACCCTTGATGGTAAAAAATAGTGAACTTGTATCCTAAAATTCTGGGGTCATAGAGAGAATAGTCAGTTGATTATCTAAATTTTTTTTGTACCTCAGTTTTTACCTATAGAATTCACTTAGATTTTGTCTTCTGCATAATATATTGTTAAAAGTACAGTCTTAGAAGATGTGTCATTCACGTGGCTTTATATATTTCTGGGGACACCACAGCTCCTGGAGGTTCTCACCCTTGTTGGATGGTGGTGGTGCTGTTGCTGTGAACTAGGAGTGCATGTGCTGGGAAATTCACTAAGAATCATATAGATCTCTCTTTTCCTCTTCTTTCTTCCCCCACAATTTCTCACCCAGATACAATGATCCTATCTTTTTTCCCCCCTTTTCCTTTTTTTGTTGAGGGAATGTCAAAAAGAAGTCTTCAGAAGCTTTTTGTGACTCATAAAATTGCTATAGTTGCAATATTAATATGTAATAGGAATTTTTTTTTCCCTAGGAAAAGGCCTTTAGGTATCTCAGTATTTAAGTGACTCTAAGGGGTAAACTAAAGTATTTCGAATATGTATGCTTACCACTTACCTTATTGAAACAGAATCTGTCTGGAAATAGCTCAAAGGTGACTCATCGATTCATTTCATTCATTGAGTGAAATTAATACCATTATCTTTAAGCAAAATTTATTCAGATGTATATGCTTAATTATATTTTTTAATATATAAAATTGTTGATTTTTAAGGTATTTTTGACGAACTCTGCAAACGTCTTTTTGTTGGAACCATGTGCCGAAGTTCCCATGCTCTTGAAAGAACAAGTTGATGCTTGTAAAGCTGTTTTGATTATTTTTAGGCGTATGATAATGGAGCTTACGATGAATAAAAAGACATGGTAAGTTAACAGCAATTAATATTTTAAAACAAATGTTTCTGTTTTTCAACATAATTAAAATGCTAAAACTGCCGTTTATTTAATGGTTTTAAAAAGTTAACAATAAAATGATAATCAGTCTTTTGTAACGGTTTCTGTGAATTATGATGAAGATAAGCACTCAAGACTTTGATAGTTCATTTATTTTCTTTATTGTTTTTAAAAATGTTCTTGAACTAAGGGTCAGTAGTCATTTTACTTAATAATGTATTTTTCCATTTTAAGCTGTCATCAAACATAGTTTTGTGGAAAAGCAGTAACTTGTGTTTTAGAATACTTCATAAGTCCGGGAGAGTTTCTTAATTGCCCTGAAATGCTATAAGCTAATTTCTAGTGCTTCAAACTTGATGTTTTAAATTCATTTTGAAAACATAATTATTTGAATGATAAATTATAAAAGTGATTAAATAGTCAAAAATATAGTGGTGTCATTAAAAATACAGTTTTTTTCCTTTTTATCTTTGTTTTTATTTGGCATTTTTGTATTTATAATGTCTCTAAATGTAAACAGTGCATTAGATTTTTTTCCTGGGCCCTTCTTTTGTTTGAATGTCATCATATCACTCCATTGAATGATGTATTTTGAGGGGTTCTCAGCAACAGACCAGAAAGCCTCAGGGTCACTTTCTACTCCTTCCTCTTCTCTTCATGTTCTGAACAGGCAGCCTCTTGGTTCTGCCTTCAAAATGCCTCTCAAGCCTTTGTGTGTTCTTCCCACTTGGCCACTGCCCTCATGCAAGTAAGCTGTACTTGCTGCTCACCGGCTGCGGTCAGCATCCCCCTAAGGGATCTTCTGCCTTGGCTCTCAGTCCACAGAGGCCACTGCAGACCAGCGCTGGTGGCACCCTTCCCTACTGGAAATCCTGTGGAGTCCCTGTTCCCACGCTTGTATTCTGAAAGTCCCCAAGTCAGCACAAAGGGGTCTGTCTGTGTGTAGTCGGTGGGAAACTGCAGAAATGAGGCAGGTCTGAGCGGGCAGGGACTGCAGGCTACCAAGTCTAGCCCTTTTTTTTCAAAGTTGAGGTAAGGGTGGGCCCAGAGGGATCCTGGTGTGCAAAAAGTTTTTTTGTATATTTGTATACAGAAGCCACAAGTATCAAAATGATGATTTTAAAATGATGATTTCAAAATGTAAATTCCAATGTCATCTTTCCCAGACTTTTAAACTTAGCACTATTTGCCCAGTTAAGCAATTGTTAAAATTGGAAATATTACAGTAATGCAATATGTGATTTAAATAAAGTTAAATGCTATATCAGTAGTATTGACAGTAGTGAGAAATGCTGGTATGCTTTTAAGTGAAATATCTGTTCCTTGATACCATAGTTGTATCAACATCATTTTTAATTTTTTTTTCCCTTTGAAAACTCCATGAATTCTGTATACCATTGTATCACTCATATTTTGATAATCTTTTCATTTTGGTTAAAGTTCTAGGAAATAAATTAAGCTATTTCTACTCTGTTCTTGAATAATTCAGAGATTTCCAGGTAAAAGTATAAAAAAGAAAAATTATAGATATAGGTGAAAATATTCACCAAAAAGTACTCAGAGAGCATAGAAAGGAATGTGACTTATTTCTCTAATAGGTTTTCTTATTTAAGTACATTATCTCTTACTTCTCTTCCTTCCTTTCCTCTCTCCCATACACCCTTTTCTCCTCTCTTCCTGCCTCCTTTCCTTCCATCCCATAAATAACTATTGAATCTCTAACTATGAGGAAATAGTTGTGACTGGGTAGACAAGGTCCTTGCCTTCATAAGGTTTACTCATAGGACTGAGAGACATTAAAAAACACATAAAACAATTTCAGATAGTAATGAGTGAGTTGTGGGTATTGCTTAGTGTGGAGGTCAGGGGAATTATTAATATTTTCGTCAAATGTCGGGGAAGGCCTTTCTGAGCTGAGTGAAGGGAGGGAGGAGCCTTGGGGACGTCTGAGGGAAGTGTATTCCCAGGAGAGGAAATAGCAGATACAAATGCCCTAATAAGAGAACAGGTAAAAACTTTGGTATGTTCAAGGAAGGGCAAGATGATGGCCAATGGGCCATTGTGGATGGAGTGAGAAGGGAGAGTGGGAGGAGGCAGGCGTGGGACAGTCCAGGGCAGGTTGCTCAGCGCCCTGTAGGCCAAAGGAAGGATACTGGCTACTTAGCGTCCTTGTGTGTGTGCAAGAGTGTGACATAATATGGTTTACATTCCCAAATGATCCTCTGGCTGCCATGTGGAGAATGACAGTACAGTGGAGCACAGCACAGGCTGTGGCCATAGATGAGGGTGGCTGGGACCAGGGCTATTGCCAGGAAGCTATAAGGAGTGGTCCTGGAATAGGGAATAACTGATGTGTAAGTGAGTAAAATATCACCTGTGTGAGAAGGTGGAGATAAAGCAAATAATAAAGAATATAGGAAAACCCTCATTTTTCTGTTGGATGCAAGAATAACACACATGCCTGATTCCATGTTCTCTGACAAGTTGGTTACACTCTTTGAGCATTTCTCCCTTGAGGAAGAGTGAGCAAGTCAGTGTTTCATGAAATAGAAAGGAACAAGCTGTAGTCAAAACTGGCAGCTTTGGCAGTTTGTATGTCTTCTGTTAGGAAAGATTTTTCCAAACTTCAGACAGTTTTTTCACCCTCATTTTCTTCCAGCAGATTCTGCATGGGAATTCCATGGCTTTCCAAGCTTTCCCAGGTTCAGAAATTGAATTAACTCTGTATCTTTGTCAGTGATTTGGTCAGGTTTATACCTTTTGATAGCAGTTCACATGACCAAGGTTTTATTTAAACTTATGATGTGTTCTCATCATGTTCTCACCATGGGCCTGTAACTGCTGTGTGCAAGGGATTGTTTTTCATTGTCTTAAGCATCGTGTAACGTGACCAGACAGTGGTGATACTGGGTGCTGTTCTTCCCTCCCTTATGACAGGGGTCTGGGTACCCTGAATGTGGTGAGCTACAGACTGTTCCTCCCCCCATACTGTGCCATTTCTTCTCCCAGTCCTCTTCAAAGTCACTGTCCTGCTCCATGTAGACTTGCCTAGATCTTGCTTGACTTGAAAGCTCTTCCTCTCTGTGCTTTTCAGAATCGATAGGCTGGGTATAGGAAAAAAGTGAACAAGTAGAATAGAGTGCAGTGAGAATGTGTGCTGACAAATGACTCTGGGGACCAAAATCAAATGGGGTCATCTACAGAGAGGGCAGGAAACCCACAGAGGTCATACTGTGAGAAGTTTAATCAGATTCAGCATCGTGTATTGTTAAGAGAAAATGCTGTTGTGATACGTAGAGATATGAGAAAAATACAAAAGAACTAGGACTTAGATATCTCATTATCTGACCTGGACTATAGTACTTTGTTCCAGTCTCAGTTTTATTAATAAAGAGTAGTAAAGCCAAGAATAAAGTTGTAGAGATGAATGAATGGTTAAGATGAAACCTCAAAGGAACTGGAATGATTTCCCTCAGAGAACAAGTAGACCTCCCCTATATACAAAAAGATGATCTGTTCTCTATTCCCACGGAATCCAGGGAAAGAAAAAGTGAGCAGACACTCTGATATGAGGAATATAACTTAGATGTAAAATAGAAAAATGTCTGGCTATTCTAAAGATTTATCATCATAATTAACAGTGTTATGTTGTCTCTAAAGTATGCTATGTTCTTCAAAGACCTTTTACATAAAACTCCCTTATGTGGGAAACTATAAAAATGCTGGCACACTGAGACTGAGCTGTAGTGATGGCAGTTGTCTCAGTTGTGTCCTTGTAGTGCAGAGTCAGGATCTTCCAGACATAAACACCTTGCCTATAAGTGTCCACTAATGCAAGCTCCTCCTGCCTGCAGGAGTACTGTGGAGTACGGCTGTACTATGATGTTGATTGCTTATATCCCCAGAATAAAGAGTGGGAAGCCAATTTTATTTTCTATCACAAAGATAGGGAGACCTTACAGGTTAAGTAAAATAATGGATGGGAAAACTAGAGTGCTGTGTGTAAGTTCAAATAGGCATAGCTATTCACTGTATTCACTGAGTATCTTTAAGGTGCTGACATAGTTGGAGAAAACTATTTTGCCTCCTTTCTTGCAAGGGAGAAAATCAGGCAGGCTGGAATATCCATTTTATCCTGCCTATTGGTGTGGACATGGGAGGCATATTTTTAGAACTGTTGTAACATAGGGAAGTTTGTTTTGATAAAATATGGTATTCATTATGTAATTGACATTCAAACTCTTAATACTTTAAAGTAATACATGATTATCAAATATTGCTGAATTCTTAAGAGAATTTCTCATACCTATAAATTAAAGTACTTTGGAGATGTGATTATTAATATGAGCTTTTATTTTGGGTGGCCCAGGGAACAGATGTTGCAAATACTACTCAGGATAACAGAAGCTGTCATGCAGAAGCCAAAGGATAAACAAATAAAGGACTTGTTTGCCCAGAGCTTGGCAGGGTTACTATTTAGGGTAAGTCTTTTTTATTAAAACACTGCAAATCAAATTTTATAGCAAATTAATCTTAATCATTGGGAATTTTAAGAGTAACATTAAACTAACTTTAAATTTCTAGAAATCGAATAGGAAATTTTCCTTCTTAGCTTTGTCCTGAAGTCTGTGATCTATTTTTTACAATTAGTGCTGGGCTTATAGGGTTTCCTACCTCTCTACCTTCCATTCTCTTTTGATTTGCCTGAGAGTGGTAGGACCTACAAAGATGACAAGAACTCATGGCATTGGTGGAAGGCCAGGTAGATTTGGAGAGGTGAAGGATGAATGGAAGCATGGGGATGGGCTAAAAAAACAAGAGCCATTGGTATGTTAGGTGATTGTATTTGAAGCCACAGGATGGGATGAGATTGCCTAGGGAGAGAATACATGCCACAGAGAGAAGAGGGCCATCTCTACAGTTGATGAAGGAAAAGGAACCAGCCAAAGATGCTCAGAAAGGGTAGCCAGTGAGCTAGGAGGAAACCCAGCTAGGAGGAATGGATGCTGTCCTGGATGCTGGGGAAAAGTGTTAGGTAAGAGGACAGCAGCCAGTTGACCATTGGCTTTGACAAGATATAGGTGGTTGATAATGTTCTAGAGGGATGAGGCCCCCTTGGAATAGATGGAGGACAAAATGAGAGCTGGGCAGTGGATGTAGCAAGCATAGTGAACGCTTCACAGCAGTCTTGATGTGGAAGGGAGGGGGAAAGGGGCAGCTGGCTGGAGTGGGTAGCATATGTGGAGGGTGAGGTTTAAGGTGGGTAATACTAGGTATGTCTGTTTACCAGTGGTGTGGTCCAGCGAGGGAGGGCAAGATGATCTGGGGGAGAGAGAGGATAACTGCAGAAGTTAAGTCCCCACTATGGTGGAGAGCTAGAATGGCCTTTGGTACGAGCATAGAGCCAAGGAGATGCCTGTGCTTCTTGCATCTCATGTGGTGAGCAGGGTCAAGAACATGAGCAGGCTGATAGCTGTTGAACTGCCTGGGGAAGTGGGAGTGTCAAAGGGTCCCAAGGGTGGCAGCCTGCTATGACATTGCTAATATTTGAGAGGTACATAAAAGTTACAAAGCATTTCTGAAAGAGAACAATGTGAAAGAGTTCTGGAAAGGTGTGCTATTCTACACAAATAAAGGTGTTTGTACCATGGATGGGCCTGACTTTGGATAATTGGATAGGAGACAGCATGGTCTTCTGTCTTGAGTTGGAAGTGACAGTTGCAGGCATGAGAAACTATCTTCCTCCTCAGTTAACCTGAAGGTGGTTTGGAGGACATGTATTAAGAATATATCTAGAATACAGGTAGCACAGGTAGGTGTAGGTGATAAAAAGAGAAATTATTTCTATTCCTATTGTAACATAAGATAACTATTCGTATTAATTTTGAGTAATTTAATGTGATTGAATGCTCTTGGCTTGATAAAAAATGTATGGGAGGCATAGAAATAACTGGCTGCCTGAGTATCATAACCACATTTATTCTGATTGCCTTGCCTAATATATTGGATATGTGAAGCGGCCTTATACATTCTTTTACACATGTCCAGCTTTGCTTTGCTGTTGCCTGGAGGGTAGCATTGATCACTGCTTGCTGCCTGCCTGGACATACAGACACTGCGCTCACTTGTCTCTCTCAAGGAAGTGTCTCATTGTTGTCATCCTCCCAAACTCCTGGTCCTGGGGTGGGCTGCCAAGTAGACATGAACTAAAGCCAGTTGCAGGCTGGCTGGTGCTTGGGCCTCATTCCCACCAATTGCCTGGCCATGCATCTGTTGTGTGTATTGGAATTAGAAAGACAACTTGTCACAGAAGTAAGCAGTCTATTCTGGAGTTGTGTTTTTTGTTTCGTTTTTGGAAAAAAATTTCTCCCCACGAATGGAGAAATCTTATCAGATCTTTCTTGAAAATTAGTTTTGAACTGTGATTATTAATGATTTTGGTGTCATTGTTATTATTTTGGCAATGGTTATAAAGATCAAGAAGGATGATTCAATTAAGAACTAACCACAAAATAGTGGAGAGAGGATGAGCTCTTTGGAGTTAGACACATTCTGGGTTCTGATTCCAGCACTGCCACACGCTGGCTGTGTGGCCTTGAGTGCATGACTTCACTTTTCTGAGTCTTCCCTAGTTTGTCATATCAGGAGAGGACCTTTTCCTACCCTACAGGGTGGTCATAGGAATCAGAGTGGATTTATTGGGATTTATGATCATCTGTTGACCTCACAAGTCCTTATGCGAGTACAGGAGGGGATCAGAGGGTAAAGGTCTGGGTGGATCAGGCGGGCTATCAAGTAGGCATTGTTTTAGTCCCATACACAATTAAAATATGCCATCTAATTATTATTCATTTGGTCATGTAGACTGTCTAAAATGGCCAGATACTTGATTTTTTTAAAAAATTTGAACAAAGAGACTGTTGAGGAAAGAGAGTTCAGACACTGAACAGGAAATTTTAAGTTGCCATTCTCCTTTTTATCTTTTTCTAGTTTTACCTATAGCATTCATTTTTTCCTCTGTCTGTAGATAATCTGGGTCAGCAAATTTTATTCAAATGATGGTTGAGTTTGACTTAGTTGTAAATATTTACCAAATAATGGTGATTGCCCTAAGCAAGGTTTTAATCTGTGATCAGTGCTATATACAACCTATGCTTGATGCTCTGAAGGTGTATCAGGAAACTATGGTCCTATTTGTAATGTGAACACTTACTTTAAAATTGTGTAGTCCCCTTAATGTGGTGAGTAGAGGGGGTAGGAAGTGGTTGGTTAACAAATGTTCATAAGAAAAGGAGTGATTTGTGAGTTAAGATTTTTTTTTTTTTTAATAGCTTGAGTGCCAGGGTGTATCTGATAAAACATTGAATTTCAGTGCTGAAGGAACCTTAGAGATGCTCTTGTCTGGTCTTTTATTTTTAGCGAGAAATGTGACTCTAGAAAGGCCAGTGACTTGCCCTAGTCAAAAACCAAGTTACTGCAAAACCACTGGGGCTTTCTCTTTCCTTCTTCTTTTCAGAAAAGTGTAATTGATTGAAAGGGCACCCTGCCTTCACGTCCAGAGATGTCACCTTTCATCCCCTCAGCTGTATTTACAATTTTGCTCTGTGTATAAGTTTTGTCAGTTTTGAATTAAGATGATTCAGTATTACCACGTACAGGTCTGTGTACATGTTTGTGATATTTGCTGAGATAAATTTTATAAGCTGTAAGAAGCCATTCTGTCCTTGTTTTATAATTAGTCAATAAAGTGAAGCCATTACAAGATTCCCAGTATAGGGCATCTTTTTATACCAAGACATCTGGCTTTGCCCATGAAACTAGGACTATATCCAAGTGAGACTGTATCCTAGTTATTACCAGTCTCTACTTTGTCCTTTTACTCTGCTAAGATTATATTTATTGATATAATATTTATTAATTTTATTGTATACATCTACTTTATGGTAATGGCCTCAAGCTCATTTTGAAAACAGGAGTGTAAAAATGAATAGACTGAAGATGGTATTTTAGTTATAATAAAAATATTTAATAAAGTATTAATAATAAAATTATTTTTTCCTTCTTAATGTTCTTAATTTTCTCAAAATCCATTCATGTTAGTATCAGATTTTTAAAATGAATGATTAAAATCTCTTTTTGATATACTTAACTATTTTAGTTCCACTTTAACATTTTTACATTTTAAAAAGTGAGGTAGATATGAGTTGAAACACAGAGAACAGGTGTATTGCAGAGGAGCTGCTTTAAATATGGTTTTCTGTGTGGTCAGAAAAGGCCTGCCTAATTATGGACTGATTTCTATTTTTCAAAGTTTTCCTATGTTTATGTTAAAGAAAAATGTTTGTCTTTTAAAAATAATATAATAAATATATAAATATTTAATATAAAATAATATAATGAATATATAAATATGTATTTATATAAATATGTAAATATAAAATAATATAATTTGGAGAAAAAATAAAAAGCTAATTCACCCACGCAAATCCTCACAACAGTGGGAGCCTCTTTGCGTCTGGGTGGGGCAAAGGTATTTGCACCTTAACAAGTGCATCTGTCTTTGACAACAGTCCAGGGGATTTACACAGACTTTGGATATAAGGATTCCTTTTCATAAGATTAGGAAAGCATTTGGGGCTCATTTGAGATGAACTTGGTTATGTAGAGTCACTTCTTTTAGGGGAGATATATTTTGATTTGAATTTTAAAGGATGTGGAATATTTTGGCAGAAATAAAGAATGGGGCAATTTCAAGGTACGGAAATACTCAGTATATAAGCATAATTGTCTTATAGGGTTGTCCATGTGACCAGTTGTTGTGCTAAGGACTATAAGAAAAATGGAAGGACACAGAGAAGTGAATAGACTGTTAAGGAAAGGTGTGATGGGTGCTCTGATGCAGGAAATGCAGGGAACTGCAGGAACTGCAGGATGCTCCCTGGAGGCTGGGAGGCAGGGGTGGGTAGTCAGGGGCACCTTCTTGGTAGAAGTGATGTTCAAATTGTGACCCAAAGAATGAATAGGAGGTACAGAGGCTCAAAGGAGGGAAGGAAGTCTGTGTGTAAAGGCCAGGAGCAAGAGAGAGCAGATGGAGCAACTGGGAGAGTCTCAGTGGAAGAAATTGAATTCTTTTTACTATTATGCTGCATTATGCTATCTAGTAATCAGGTACATAGACAAGGAAACCAATAAAAAGAGATCTAGGCTGGATGTGGAGATTCAGAAGTCACAGCATATGGAGGATAAGAACGGGGACCAAAACTCAGGCAGAAGGTGGAGCATCGTTGGGAGGAGGAAAGCCAGAGCGTGTGTTGCCAGTGAGTGGGGGAGGTGGAGGTGGAGTGAGTGTGGAGCACTCTTTCAAGAAACCTGGCTGTGAAAGGGGAGGGAGAAGGGCTGTAGTTAGAGCAAGGAATTGGGGTTCAGGGCAAATTTTTTGTTTTTTTAAGGTGAAGAATTGGAGGATATTTAAATGCTGATGGGGAGGAAGTGGGGAAATAGAATAGGTTGAAGATAAAGGAGAAGTGGGGTTACTAGAGGCACAGTGACTCTGAGGAAGGGTTCCAGAGCAGAAGCAGGGAGCAAGTGTAGAAGAGCAGGAACCCCTACTGGCTTATAGCCCACAGGCGGAGGAAAAGCTGGGTGAATGCAGACAAGAGCATGACTTTGTGGGCAGAGGTCAAGAGGAGTCCCATTTAATGGGTTCTGTTTCCTCTGAAGTCTACAATGAGTCTATGTATTAAAATAATCAGGGAGGAGTTGGTGGGTTGGAAATTTTCGTATAGAGGATGAAGTTTGAAGTAGCCACTATGGAGGATGAGGAAAAAAGCTGTCTCAGGAAGCAGAATAGTAGTTATACAGAGGGCTTTGTCTTCTCCTAATTATAGCCAGGGCCAGCCACAGACACTGCAATAATATTGAATTGATAACTTTATTCATAATAATAACTAATTTCTTAGTAGCTCAAATCCTGAATACAATTGGTTAAATGAGTGTTGAGAAATTAAAAGAAAAGCAGTATCCAAAAGTACTTTTTATTTTAAAATTTACTGTATTAATAGTAATTTAAAATATTTTATTAAAAATCATACTTCTTCCAAGTGAATATGATTGGATTTTCTTGTTGGTTCGTTGGTTTCAGACACTCATCGTGGCTTGGATCCGAGCAAACCTCTATGTGTACATTTCTCGAGAGCTCTGGGATGACTTTCTTGGTGTGCTGTCCTCCCTCACGGAGTGGGAAGAACTCATCAACGAGTGGGCCAGCATCATGGACTCCTTGACGGCAGTGCTCGCAAGAACCGTTTATGGTGTTGAGATGACAAACCTACCTCTGGATAAATTAAGTGAACAAAAAGAAAAGAAGCAACGAGGCAAAGGTATTTCCACTCTTCCAGGGTAACACCAGCTGTCTGAAACTGGGGAGGAATGTGTATTTCTACATCTATGCGATTAATGCATGAAAATTTTATAATGAACTGAACCAATTACACAGTGTCTTTAATGGTGCATTAGGAGGTACACTCTGTTCCCTTAATGAAGATGATGAATTTCCGAAGAGGAAAATGAAAGGGAAGTAGTAATAGTAGTAGTAGTAATAGTAATAACTAACAGTAACAATTATAATAATGGCTCGTGCTTTGCACATATTAACTCTCTTCACACTCATGATAACCTAATCCAGCAGATATTATTATTATCCCCTTATCACTGACAAAGAAATTGAAGAACACAGACTTTACAGTGATTGACTCATTCAAGGTCACATAGATAAAAAGTGATAAAGCCAGGCATTAAAGCCAGACAAGTTCAACTCAAGATGCCACACTATTAAGATGTATTTTGTTGCCTCCTTAGGAAAGATATAGAGAAATTCTGAATGCTTCAGATTGGAGCCATTTTGGCTTTGTTGTGTTTTTTGGGTAAAAATTGTTTTGAGACCAAGAGTCTCAAATGAAAATGATGTTTTCAAGGTAGACAACACCAGTTGTGGTTTCTATTGGGAATGACAATTTAGCATCCATTGTCTTCCTTACTGTTCTTAAGGATTGTGACAGTGGTCCTTGTATTAATTCATTTGCATCCCAGCTTATTCTGTAAAGATTTGAGGCAGTTTATAGAAATGCATATAATACAGTAGATCAAATGTGAAAGGAAATAGGGGCAAAATGAGTGCAGGAGCCACAGGAATGGTTAAAATGCTGAAATGCATGCCATAGAGCCTCATGTGCTTGCTGGCAAGACTGGAAAGTCAAACATTGGATTTGATTTACAGGTTTACATCAAACAGAGAACCACAGAGTACATAAGATTAAGAAAATTCACTTAGGTGATACATATTAGATTATTAAGTAGGAAATGTCCGATTTCCTTAAGTAGTAAGCTTCACAGTTGCTATCTCTGACATTTCACTTTGACATTTTCTTGTTTTATTTTATTGTGAAGGTACATCTTTATTTTTTCAAATGCATAGTTTGGCTTGTGAGTATCTTTCAAATTTTTTTGAGCAATTTTCTGAAACCATGAATAAGTCAAAAATTCATGTTATTTTTGAATATGAGTTCCGTCAAGGAACCAGTGCAGCACAAACAGCTTGAAATATCAATGAAGTGTTTGGGAAGGATGGGGAGGATGTGGCTAAGGAATGCACAGTATGTCAGTGGTTTGAGAAGTTCTGTTCTCGTGATTTTAATCTTGAAAATGAGCCATGTGGGGGACCTGAGACCAAGGAGGATAATGATAAGCTGAAAGCTGTAGTGGAAGCGAATCCATCTCAACCTATGTGGAAATTAGCAGCAAGGTTTGATGTTACTATTCCAACAGTATTGGACCATGTGAAACAAATGGCAAGATAAAGAAGCTGGATAGATGGGTACTACATGAACTAAACAAACATCAGAAGAGAAATCATCTCAAAGCTTGCCTTTCTTTGCTGTCACAGCATAAAGGCAAACCATTTCTATACCACATTGTTATATGTGATGAAAAGTGGATTCTTTTTGACAATCGCAAGCATTCAGCACAATGGTTGGATAAAGATGAGGTGCCGAAACACATTCCAAAACTGAATATTCATCAGAAAAAAACTAATGGTGTCTATTTGGTGGTCCAGCGCTGGTATTATCCACTACAGCTTTGAGAAACTTGGTCAACTGATTACAGTGGATGTCTACTGCAACCAATTGGATGAAATGAACAGGATGCTTATGATTAAGCCGCTGAGATTGGCCAATAGAGACAGGCCCATCCTCTTACAAGACAATGCTTGACCACATGTTGCATAAACAATGCTGCTCCAACTATAGAGGCTGAACTTGGAAACTCTGTCATCCACAGTATTCACCAGACTTTGCACCAGCTGCCTAGCACTTCTTCCAGGCTTTGGACCACTTCTTGCAAGGAAAAATATTTGATTTCCAACAAGCTGTGGAAAACGCCTTTCGCGATTTCATCACCACTTGTTCTCCAGGCTTCTTCACTGAGGGCATAAGCAAACTACTGTTAATATGGCAAAACTGTGTTGATAGTTTAGCTGCATACTCACATACTTTTAATTGTACTGCTGCTTGTTTGAGATATAATAGACTAACTTTTGATTTGAAATCAGACATTTCATATTTAATAACCTTAATAGTTTTTTTTTTGGTCCTAAGATCTGGGAAGAATATCTCCTTCAGAGCCTAATAAAGGATACACATTGCTTATCGTAGTAGGCTACACTCTTCATTAATAACTTTATTATAGACTGTATTAGTTTGATTTTACCTTATAACCTCAGATCACCTCAAAACTTAGTTGCTTAAAATAACAACTACATATTTAGATCATGAGTTTATGAGTTGACAATTTGGGTTGGACTCAGCTGGTCAGTTCTTCTGCTAGTCTTATCTAGATTCACTTCTGTGTTTGCAGTCAGCTAGGCTGTGAAATGGTCAGTTAGGCAGCTCTACTTCTAGGGATTAGCTGGCTGTCAGCAGGGCAGTGAGGTGTGACTAGACCACATGTTTCATCAACCAGCAGGCTAGCACAGGTTTGTTCACATGGTGGCTTAGAGTTCCAGGAGCAGCAAGAGGGCAAGCTCAAATTTTCAAGTGCATTTGAAGTCTCTACTTGTTCAATTTTGCTGTCACAGTAAGTCATAGGATGAAGCCTAGAGTCAGTGTGGGGAAGAACAACAGAGGATATGAATATGAGGAGTTGTGCACCAATTACAATGATTAGTTAACCCATATAGACATGCAATTAATTTGAATGATTCTTATAGTATCTTCATTACAGTCTGAGAATGGCTTGCCAAAGCACCGGTTAATGAAAGCAAGTTAGTAAGAAGCCAAAACAAAGTAGTTTTAAGTACATGGCATTCCACTGGAATAGTTTAATCCCAGTTTAGATTTTGACTATCTAATGAAATTATTTTCTAACTTAGTTTTAGCAGAAGATATTTTTTTCCTCCCCAATTGAACCCCTTTCTAACAAAATATATTAGACTCGAGTTTTGAGGTTTAAATATGGAACCAAGAGCCTGGACCCTTGGCCTCTGTTTTATCCTCTTTAACAGCTCTAAGGGCCTTTGTGGAGACCCAGGACTAACAGGATCCTGATGCTTCTAACCAGGAACTTGGCCCCTTAAGACAGTGGTTCTCAGCCCAGAAGAGAATCTACCCTGTTAAGGATGCTTTTCAGGATGGAGGAGGAAGGGAGCTGAGATAAGAGTTAAGGCCCTACCTTCTCAAACTAAGTACATTCCCTGCCTCCTGGAATTCTTGTAATCCACACACGTGCAAACACACACACATACACATGTGCACCCCACCACCCTGCAGTATTCTCTCCCCTCCCAATGTACAAACACAGATTCATATGGAGAGATAGACTTGTCTTAGGAAGGCAGACAACTCAGAAAACACTATTCAGAATGGTACAGAACACATTACTTAATTAATGACCATGACAAATACTGCCAATTTATATTGTTTTATACTAAAAAGGATTTAAATATTTATTATGGAAACACTTGCCATCTAAGCACTAGTCTAGTGGAAACAAAAAACACAAGCAGAGGAATGTGGGCATGAAAACAAGCCTCCAGCCATATCATACCTGTGCAGAAATCTCTAAGTCTCTCCTTCTTTTTCTTCCTCTATTTCTTTTGGATCCTTGACCTCTCAGTGCAATAACAGACCAGAGCAATATAAGAGAAAAGAAGGGAAGTTGAATCTCAGACTGCAGTGTTTTATTATTTTGGAGCTTTGCTAAAGTATGATTTTGTATTATTTATAGATTTTCATTATCCTGCTCATAGGATGGGAATCTACAGTAGGCATGGATTTCTCTGGGGATTTGTGGAGGGGTTGGCATCTACAGGATGCAATACTATTCTATCATCAGGATTCTTAAGTTTTTGATTTATAACTAGTGGTTTTTAGAGTATCCTGGGAACAGGGATATAACTTCATTTGACATTGTTCTTATATTGAGAAAGGTTTATTAATATGTTCTTTTGTATATTGGAGTGAGTAGTATGAAGACATGGTAATTTTGATGAGACTTTCATAGATTCTTGAAAATACTTTGGCAACAGGAATTTTTGGATTAGTGATATATGACTAACTTCCTAAATTGCAGTGTAAGGAAGTGGTCCCTAATTTGCAACAAGGGAATTGGCTCATTATACCATAACTGTATGCATGCCATTTGTTGAGCAGCATAGACTATAAAATGAATAATAATAAATTCAGCATCTAGATTAATTTTCTTATCTTATCCTTTATCAGGCTGTGTCCTAGATTCTCAGAAAGGAACCACTGTGGGCAGATCCTTTTCTCTCAGCTGGCGGAGCCACCCGGATGTGACTGAGCCAATGCGATTTAGGAGTGCCACCACATCTGGAGCACCAGGAGTTGAGAAGGCAAGGAATATTGTTCGCCAGAAAGCAACTGGTAAACATTTATTTAAATATTTCTCAAAAACAGTTGTTATCTAAGGTAGATTGATAGGAATAAAATGTTTTAAAATTCTACCCAAAATTTACATGTTAGACCATTTATTAAATGCAATGTTTCTACATGTTAAGTTTTCAAATCACATTTTTAGATATTTATTTCTAAATCCTCCATTGTGAAAAAGAACTTGGGATGTTAATATTGAGTGAGATACTTGTGCAAAATAGAGAAAATAGAGGTTTTATTTCAACCTTGAAGGAAATGGAGTCTTAATAAATACACCGTTAGTCACAATATTGTCCTTCGTAAACAATGTTAATCGTAAGAATGTGGCAACCTGTCATGACAAAGAAAAGGAGAAGGATGCACTTAGTGTTCAGGACTAGATGGAGACATTTTCTTTTTTTGCTGCTTTGGAAAATGGAGCTTTTCATGCCTATAGATGTTGTCTTTGTAGCCTATATCAATTAACAAGAACTTGACCAAGAACCCCAGTTAATCGGACTGCTTTGCCACATTTTACTCTTAAATCAAAAAGAGAAATCTTTAAAAAGGAAGCTTATATCCAGTATTTAGTAGGAGCTTTAAGTACTGGCTACAGACTTTTAATTTAAAGCCTCCTCTTCTCCAGTGACTTTGAGACTTTAGCATGTTGACTTCAGAAAATCACCAGATCCTCTGGCCATAAAACAGATTTATTTAAGCTCAACATATTCTGCAGTGCTTACTTAGTAAAGGCTTCCTTTACTTAGAAAAGGCTTAATACATATGGTTTAGCACATTAACTGCCATGTGAGTTGTATTTAACTCATACTAGTTTTGAGCCCAAGGGACTCATGAAGAATATGTAACTCACACATCTTTTTACCTTGGAAGCCGTGTGGTGTATAGGCAACTCACGCTGCCATGTTGTAGCATACATGTTACATGATAAGTGGTCCCCTGGGCAAAACCCTGCAGTTGGTTTGTGAAAATCTTACTTGTTGCTGTTCTTATTGTTACAATTAATATTGACAATTTAATTGCCTATAACTCACACACAGAAAACAATAAAAAATAACATATTTTTCATAAATTAGAAGGGATCATTTTGTTTTTGAAGTTTTTATTCTATTTTTGTAATAAAACACAGTGGGCCCAAGGAAAAATTTTTTTCTGGTGTGGCAGTCAATATGTTAGAATCCTGTTAGAGTTTTTATAAAAATGTATTATACTTTAACCTGAACTACCTCATGCTTTTTTGCTATGGCATTTGCTGGTAATTATCACCTTATTTACATGCACCTTCTATTCTACTTCTTTCTTCTTTGCATCATTCTCTCTGAGGAGAGACCCAATTCCTAATTAACAAGGCAACTTTTGAGGATGCTTATTCAATGATTTCCTTTCTCATTCCAACTCCAAAAAACTATTTTCTTTTGTCACTGGATCCTTAAAAGACAAGGATCAGAAGTTTGTGACAAAGGTGGCGTCCTGCCTGAGCTGCCTAGCCTACCTGCTGTCCTGCACAGTCCTTAAATCACAGTTATAATAAAGGTATCAATTCACAACACTTTTCAAATTTTATTTCCACATTGTAATGAGCAGCAAATTATAGTACAATGCATATTCTGTATGCCACTACTTGGCCAAAACATAGCCATAGAAGAGACTGCATCTTAGCTTTCAGCATGATTGTATTTTGTCAGCAATATGGTAGAGGCAACAGTGTGTTTTAGAAAGTAATCTCAGTGCAGTTATGCTAGTGAGGTTATATTTATCAGTGCTTTCAGGTGTCTGAGAAGCCATGATAGTGCAAAAACAAGCACTTTTTAAAAATCATGTAAAGGTATTTGTGGAGTTTGTACTTAAACACAATAAGCCTGGATTTTGTAGGATTAATTAAATTTAAAAATGTGAAATAATAACCTTTAAAAGATAATGAGGAAGAGAGCTATTGAGTTGGACAGATCTATTATATTTATGTATGTTTATATATGTGTGTGTATATATGGATACATATTTCCTATTGTAGTTTACATTTTAAAAAATTATAAAATACTATGAATCCTTTTTGTTACCTGCAAAAACAATGGTCTTTGAAGATGTTATTATGTCGTGCTATTTTATAAATTAGTCTATAGAGACTAAATATTAGGGTTTTACTCAGTTCTGTTATTTTTATGTTATGTAATAACTTACCTTTTCTTCTTTAAAAAGGCCCAGAATATTTTCATGGTAGATTTATGCAGAGGCCACCTTTTTATGAGAGAATGGCAACTTGCGAAGTTTGTTTTTGCTACTTTTAGCACTAAGATGTTTATTATGGAAGACTCATTTAAAAGTAACTTTCCTCCCTAATCCCCATAAGGAAATAGTTTATTACATAATGACTTCCCCCACAGATTTCACTTAGGTAGGGAAAATATTGCCAATGGTAGCATGAAGGAAATATAAAAGAAGCAGTTGCAGAGTAGAGAAATGATAATTAGTTTAACAGAGAATGTAGTAGCTTGTAACTTAAAAGGCCTGGCGAGGGGATTCTTAAAGAATTATAAAGGAAAACTCTGTCTCTGGGTGTCTAAAATGAGACAGCAATCAAAGCAGTCTTAATTTCTACATAAAACATTCTATATTTTATTATTCATGAAATATCTAGTGGTTAATTTTAGAAAAATACATAATCATTGATTTATGAAAGGAAAGCTTTTTAAAACAACACTCAAATGAACAATCTGACATTGAGAGATTTCAGGAAATTTCTTTCAAGTAATTTGAAGTCAATGTAACATTTATGTGGAAGTTTTCACTTGTATATTACACTACACACCTGTGAATTATACTGTACTCACATTGCAAATAGTGCTTTTACTGGGAATTCCAATAGGCAAAGGATAGGGGAAAGGATAGTAGATTAAAAAGTTTCTTTTACTTTTTGCAAATGTGTAACTGTCATTTGTAGTTCTATTTCATTAATGTTAATTAAAGTCACATAATAATAAAACACCAAGTCAACCTTTACATTTTTTGTTTTAGGATAAAACTGATTTTACTGATTATGGTTTTACATATATGAGTCATGTTCTTCTATGTCCATCCATTTTCTCCAATGTTTATCTGACTAACAGTGTATAGAAAATTTAAGAGCATCATAAAGCTGACACTAAGGAAATTTGGACTTAATAAGCATGAAATGTGGAATAAAGGGTGGGTTTCATGGAGATTTTACCTTTTCTTCAAAAATCAAAAATCAAATCTTTTAATGTTCAACTTGACTTTTATGTGTTCTTGAGCTTTTAGGACATTTTCTAAATGATTAGCTTTTGAATACAGTCAGCTCTCAGTAAACCAAGTTCTAAATTATTTATTATTATAGAAGAACTTTAATCTTAGGCCAGATATTCCCTCTCTCACTGTGGTCTTTTTGTGTATATTCTTTAGGAAGGGAAAACTGATTATGAAGTCTGCCAAAATAAATAACCCAAATATGAGTCTGATCACAGGCAGAAAAAAGAGGAAAGGCTAAACCTATAAAGCATTACAAAAGAAAATTGATTATTTGGGGATTGCCCATTCTCCTATGTCATCAGAATGTCTGACTGAAAGTTGGCTGTATTTAGAAACTTGATTAAATACTGTGCTTTATACTGACTTCCTTTAAAGTTTAAAATGACCTCCTTTAAATGTTTCAAGAGAGCCCAGAAAAATAATAATAAAAAAGAAGTGAAACGTTCTGATGTTCTTCTGACATAATTGTTACTTTATCTCTCCTGGAAGCTAAGCGAAGCCAGTCTATCAGCAACTGTGTCCACCTTTCTGAGGCTTTGCCCGCCACTAAAAGCGTCCCGCTCCTCCTTCACACCGTGAGCGCTCTCTTACCTGGTCTCTCTTACTCTTCTTGCTCTCACAGGCTGTCAGGTACTGTAACGCTGTCTCATGTATCCATCAATGTCCCTGGGCTTTTCCCACTTGCCTTTGGGCCTTGCTTCCTTTGTTAATATCCCCACATCACACACGTGTGCCTGACAGTGCATTCATGGTTAATTCCAATGAATACGAATAATTGTTTTTATGTACCTTGACATTTAGTAGCAATTAGTCAAGAAAAATTTCTATGGCCCCGATGATCTTTGCATTTACAGTTAAGGCAATAGAAGGATTTTAAACCCATAGTTTTTGATAGGGGGAAATGTGATTGATGCCTGCCTTAGTGTGTCTTCTATAGAGTGCCTTAGAAAGTAAGGGAATTTTCATAAAATTTTACAAAAGTTTGAGCATGTCAACATTAGAATGCTTGCCATGTCTTCTAAAAAGTGAATAAACTGGAGATAATATGCAGGTAAGAGTTCCTTGTAGTTAAAAAAATCATATTCATATATAATGTAATGATTGATTATACAGATTGATACTACTATTAAGATTTGAGTGAAAAAAATGTGAAAAAGTGATAATTTCCAAAACAAAAAACATTGTGCCTATACAATTAAAATTGAATTGAACCATGTGTGGTTTACACAAAGTGCATTTTTTATTAGGACATTGTAGCACCAAATATGATTTTTGGCCTAGTCACTTCAACAAAAGGATTTACTTTGCTCTACAGTGAATAATTAGGCGTATTTCTATTTTTCAGTGATTCTAGGATGAACTGAATCTTCCTTCTAAACAGAGAAATATTTTCATGATCCTTTTTATTTTCAGGAATTTGGCATTGTACATTAGTATTTTTTTAGTATTGAAGGTAGCCTAATTGTGGCTTTCTGTAGTACTAAATTGTGTTGTACTATGGTTTAGCAAGGCAAAATTAAAGCTTAAGTCATCTGATGGGTACGTAAAATACTATATTATTTAATTTACAGAATATGAGGGAAGAAGTTAGTTTTACTGAGATTGAAGACTATAATGTTTCTTAGAAAACTCCTTTTTGCTAGTAAATACTGAAAGTGAAAAAGCAGTAAGAATGCTACTTGGGAAAATAGTCACTAGTCCATTAAATTACTCATGAGTATTAAGTGCTTAATTATTTAGTTTTCAAAAAAAAGTTGTTGCTTAGAGATGATTAATAAAGTACTTAAAGTATTTTTGTTCTTTATTTGGCTAATATTTACTAAAGGGATTTTTTTATGGTGAAAAGCTTTCTTATTTCATAGTCTATTTTTTTTCATATTGTTTCACTAAATTTTTTGCTAGTTTGTTCAGAATATATTCTCACAAGAAATCTCTTCCTATTAGTAATCTCATTTTCAAAATGTTTGTTCTCATTCAGTATTACATTTTGTTTTATTAAGATCTTGGTTCCTATGTATTCATGGCTCCAGCAGAATTTGAATATGATTTAGAGCACTGATTCTCAACTAAGGACAATTTTGGCAATGTCTAGAGACATTTTTTATTGTCACAAGTGGGACAGTGCTACTGGCATCTAGTGGATGGAAGTCAGGGTCGCTGTTGAGCACCCTACAATGCACAGGATAGCTCCACAGCAAAGAATTGTCTGACCCAAAATATCAGTAGTGCTGAGGTTGAGACACCCTGAGTTAGAGTGAAGCAGGCTGGGCTGGGTCTATATTTTCCAGCCTTTGCCATCCTTATTCCTGGTTTTATAGCACAAAAGGTGAAAGGTCTTAGGGCTTTAGTGACTTTGAGAACAGTCTGCCATTCTCTGTTTCATATGACAACTGTACAGTAGTGAGCTCCTTCTTAGTCTAATACTATTTATTCTTTACTATTTAAAATGATGCCTTTGTCCTTTGTGCTGTCTTATCAAGAGACTGGCCCAAGGACAATCTATGTCAGTCCCCAGTCTTAGGTTGTACATTCTCCACTGGTTGGCACATTAGATTATGAATTTGTGCTCTAGTTAAATCCTAGTGTGTAGGCATATCCTGCTAACCTATTGCTAGGTAATATGCAGACACTTTTAATTCTACTTTCTGGCCACAAGTTCTTTACCATATCAATGATTGCTAATTTTGTTTTCATTTAAGTTAACATTTCTTGTTTTTGTTTCTAGTGTATAAAACTATTCAATCCACCAAAGTTGTTTGTAATAATATAAGCAATGGAGAATTACTTACCTTCAGCCACTGTTATTCTTACCTTCTCTTGGGACTCTGGTGGCGGCAGAATTTTGGGAGGGTTGTTTGTATTTTGGGAGAAAGAAGTGACGTTTGTATTTCAGGAGAGTCACAACCACCTGTTTCCACTGATATGAATATATACATAAAGAAACACATGGGAGGTAGAACTGGCACTTTTCATGATTTCCATTTTTTCCTTTGTGGGAACAGTTCCTTCCAGCTGTTTTGTAATTTTAACTGCTTTTTGTGCTGGGGCATTTATCAATCTGTAGTACTTTTAGGCCATGCAGATGGTAGATTTTATTTTTCTTTTAGGAATATTGTAATAGTAGTAATTAGAGGAGGGGCATTCTCCCCTCATTCTAAGAAGACACACTGGAACCTAATGGAAAACCTAGCTGCTTCTGCATCTGGCTTCCAGGGAGTGTCCCTTGCCAGAACCTGGGCTGATTCATCTTTGGAAAGCTTGACCTTGTGGGAAACCTCAAGATGTTGAGTTGGTAAACATTTCCTGTGCTTTTAATAGTGTCAAGTTGGTGGTATCATGCACCATGTTTTAAAATTAGGAAATTACACTATTTATGTTGCTTATGCAACCTGTTCAAGGGGTAAATGGAACCCAGAAGTTTGGTTATTGGAGAATAAGACTCATTCTATTTAATAAGATTAATTAAAGAAACCTTAAAGAGTGAGTGAAATTGCTCTGAAAAATAGTACGACGTAGAAAAAAATAGAAGTTACTGAAGAACTTACACCCTTTTTAATTTAATCACACTGACTCTTCTTTCAGTGGGAAAAATGAAATTAAATAATCCCTATTTGATCATTTTTCTGGTGTTTTGAATGGAGTTTTAGAAAGTAATGGTTTAGTAATTGTATTGTGTAACTTACACAGTCAAGAGATGAGAAAGTTAGTAGCTTTAAAATTTGGGTTATTGGGATTAGGTAGTCTTTAGAGAGAGTAAATGATTTGGTGAATCTGAGATAAAATTTATAATAGTTCTTTGAAGTGATTCAAATAGAACTTACGAGACATTCAAAACAGGATGCATTAGATCTCCTAGGATTTATGATATAATTTTTAAATAACTTGTTCTTTTTCTATTATAAATATCAAATAATCCTGTATCTTGATATTTGCATGTCAGTGCTAAAATGATTTTCACTTATTATGGAATAGCAACCTCTCCAGCTAACAATATAGAATGGGAGCAGGTTTACCATAAATTGCTCTTTCTTAACAAATAAAATGCCAGCAGAGGGAGCCCAAGAACTATTTTAAAAGCAAAAAGGTACCAAGAAAATGTTTTGTCTTTCATTTATACAAAACATATATTGAGTATATACTTCATACAAAGTATGAGAAAAGGCCGAGAAATGTGCAATTATAAATCGTGAGATTGGGTAAAAATTATGGGATAAGGAGAATTGAAAAATTTGTTTCACACTGTCTCATTTGACAGTCAGCTACAGGAGCAGCTCAGGACCCCAACAACACAACAGCACACTAGGTATTGTGGCTGTCCCCTCCTTCCCACTGCAGTCACTGATGCTCCCGCCTCTGCCACTGACGGTTATTTCTACAAACTTGGACTTTTTCCATCTGAGAAGTCCCTCCTGACAGTTTTATAAAAACAAAGCCTTAAAAGCTGCGTTAGGCCAGCCTGTTGGGAAGACAGACCAGCTGGTGGTGGCAGGCTCTCCATCCGTCTGCTGTGCTGAGGACCAGTGGGGACACTAATTTGGAAGTAATGGTGCTGTGGCTGTATTGCATCCCACCAGATGGCGATGTTCTTTATCTTTAGAAAGATGCTGCCAGCGTTGGCTCAGTTCTTATTTGCTTCTGCTCCTAGCCCAGAAACCAGCATCTATCAATTTCTGGCATCGGGTTTAAGAGAATAAAACACACTCTTCCCACTATCTATAAAAACTGGCACTTGCCAATTATTTTTTAGAACGTTCGGAAGCTCTTGGGCTCCCTCTACTGATGTTGGGTTAACACATAGGTTCATTAACAAATATAAACTCTTCCCAGAAGGTTTCGGCATCTTACATAATTAGAATAAACAATGAAAGAAGACAGCCGGAAGGGCTGGCCCCGTGGTGTCATCTGGCTTCTGTTGCTCAAGGCTGAAGAGACTAGAAATAGACCCGTGAAAAGGGCCTAGTCTGTGCTTTGGCATGTATAAGTATATAAAAAATTTTGCATATCCTCTTGTGTTTCTCTGTGGAAAACTTGGCTATTCAAGAGAAGAGGGAGGCAGAGACAACCAGGGAAAGATGAGGCTTTAATGGGTCTGTTGTTGCTTCCTTGATTTATCTTTGCTTGTACTCTGAACTCAGTTTCCCATCAGTATCCAAATTTAGACTATGGTCTAGTACTTTGAATTGTAAGTGGAGGATGGTGCAAATTTCATAGTCTGGGGTCTTTAACTATATCAATATACTATAAAATGGATATTTCATTTGGATAGAAAAAATAATGCGGCAACCCTTTGTTGAAATCCTGTATATTAAATTTAGAATCTTCCTACATACAACTTCTTGACTAGGTTGAGCCATCACGTTGGTTTATGGCTTTGGTTAAAGGGTTGCACAGAGGGTAGCCCATTGGCAGCAAGTCTCCATTTCTGGTGAGGAACTGGGTGACACAGCCAGCCAAGATAATACAGGCTGAATTTTGATCATCCTCTTCTTAGTTGTAGTGAAACTTTGACTAATTAAAATTTTTGGAGAATATGATGTTATAGCTATGTGGATTTAAAGTTTTATGACTACATCAGTGAGTGTAGAGTCTAGTGAGGAACATAGTGGTGGGGTTTACACACACAAGGCCATGCGGCAAGTCCTGTAGGGGTATGCCCAGGGCAGCATGGGAGAAGGGATGGAGCAGGTGTGCCGTTAGTATAGGGGAGGAAACGGGAGGAGGAAGAAGAGCAGCAGGTGCCAAGTAGGTTAGTATTGTTGGAGACCAGAGAGATGGTTTCTTTTGAGGGAATTATTATGTGGGTGAGATCAAAGAGAGCCCTGTATTCACCCTGGTGAGCACTGATTTGACCCTCTAATGATTGAGGGCCTCATGGTCAGATCTTTATTTTAGAAGGACCTCTCTGGGGGCCGTGTGGAGGCTAGCTATGAGGGTGGCAAGAAGAGGGGAGCAATGACTAGTTGGCTGAATATTAAAATAGCCTGTGCAAAAGATGATGCAACCCTGAAGCTGTGACTCGAGAGAGAGAGGGTAGGATGATTGGGATAAATGTGCCTTGGATGGTTGGTCTTCAGAGATTAAAATGAACCGTGTAGTTTAGAAATGAGTTGGGAAGAAACTCATTCTCTAGGGGAATATAGTTTGTAATAATACTAGCCAAGATTATTCAGATAGTCAGAACTCATCTATGGTTTCCTATTTTATGTCATATATATATATTGATTCTCTAAAACTACCAGCGGATCATTTTTGTGGTTTAGTGATTAATTCAGTGTTACATTTGGTGATATATGCCATTAAATAATTATAGCATTTCATTTTGGACAGTGAACATTTGTGTGTTAAAAGGAATAATATAATTGAAATTCCCACATTTTCTTTCATCTTCCTTTAGGGTGTATGTATGTGTTACTTTCTACTCTCTTCATTTGTATAAATCACCCGTTTTGTGAATCTCTTGGATCTCTGGATCTCTCTTTCGTGGCATGCCTGCTCCTCAAATTCCAAATGACTTTTATATTTCTCAATCATTTTTGTGGCCTTCTCCCTCCCCTTCACTTTGATTGAAAAATAAAAGGCTTTGTAGAACTTAAGAGGAATATGTATTCTTGGAGTAGTTTAGAAGTATAGGAAACTGATGATGTAAACACAGATTTATCTTATCATAAAATTCATTCTTTAAATTAATTGTTTTAAATGGTGAAAATATTTTTGAAAATCTCTAACCACAGCCCTGCATGTTTTGTGTTAATGCTCACAGAAGTGGAAGAGTGTCAGCAGTTGGAAAATGCACCTGCAGCTGGATCTGGCCATCTCACGGTGGGACAGCCCCAACAGGTCCTTCGGAGCAGCAGCACATCTGACATCACTGAGCCACTGTGCTCAGATTCTTCTCAGGGTACATGATGTCTCTAGTTGTTAAAACCGAACTGTAGATCTTGGCTGGGGATAAAAAGCTGCAGATAGTGTTGCTATCTGTATTTGTTCTAAGTATATTTATTTTGAGGGGTTTTACTTTTTAATTTAATTGCAAGGATGTGATTTTGGGCAAGGAAATGTTTTCACTATTTATTTTAACATATCTTTCTAAATTTTATATTTTTATATACACACATCCCACTTTTTTCAAGGTTGGCATGTTTGAGGCCTAGAAAGGAGTCCAAGTGGCTGGAGTAGGAGGGAGGCAGAGAATTGGTACAAGACAGTCCGGGGGAGCATCCTATTAGGAGGAAGGCAGGGAGGCAGGATAAGGGGAGGTGTGGGAAGGGGCTGCAAGAAGAGCTGTTAAAGTTGAAGATATGAATGCAAAGCTGACTGGACTTTTGAAGAAGTTTATTAGCAGCTTGCAGACTCTGCTGAGGTTGAAAATAATAACTTTCAATAGCATTAATTTGCACGGTTTCTCCAACATTCAGTAACAACAGGGTGTGGGAAGCAAGGAGGCAGATGGTTTGACCTATAAACAGTGAATAATGTATTTTACAGTGAAAACACCTGTTTAAAACATGTCTGGTATCAGTGAATCTACTTATTCTGTTTTAGTGTCATGAGATAATGAAGAAATAAACCAACCTTATTAATCAACAAGTTGTCTCATATCTCTTAGTATTAGGGTCATGCTAGTCTTATCAAATGAGTAAGGAATGATTCTTTCTTAGAAATCCTCTTGAAATAAGAACACATCATAAAAATTAAGTTGAGAAAAATATTATCTGAAAGATTTTCTACTCTTTGAAAGGTTTTATATAAGATTATTATTTTTTTCCCATAAATATTTGGTAGAAACCACCAGTTGCCGAGAGTTTTCTTACAGAAAGATTTTAAAATATTCATATTTTAACAAAATTTCAGTAAAAGAGGAGGAATACGATGAAGAGATCAGTTGTACAATATGGTGACTGTAATTAGTAATAATATATCGTATTCTTGAAAATTACTGAGTAGATTTATGTGTCCTCACCACAAAAAAATGATAAGTATGTGAGATAATGCATGTTAATTCACTCAATTTAGGCATTCCACAATGTATATGTATATCAAAACAACATGTCATACCTAATTGATAAATAAATATTACTTTTGTCAATACAAAAAATTTAAAAATACAGTTAAAAAAATAATTATAGGTAGGACTATTCATATTTTCTTTTCCTCTTTTGATTTGGTTGATTGTTTTTCTAGGAATTTGTTCATTTTTTTCAAATTTATTGGCTCTAGATTATTCATAAAATCCTCCTATGATCGTTTTTTGGTATTTGCAGGCTTTGTGGTGGTATTCCTTTTTTTTTTTTAATTGAAACTGGTTATTTGTGCTCTCGTCAGTCTTTATTCTCAAGCAGCACTGAGCCACCTGAGTGCTCTCTTCTTCCTGTCGGCTCACCTGGCCAAGCCAAGCAGCTTTTCTCTGAGATACTTTCCCCAATGATCCCAGGGAGGGTCTTGCTGCCCACTCCTGTGCTACTGTATTGCACTGATCGAACACGTTGGCCACAGTGAGCAACATCTCGTCTGCTCTCTCCAGAGCTCTCTGTGGGCCAGAGACCAGGTCTACAGTGTGGACTTGACCCATAGGCTACCAATTTGCCCGACCCATAACTCCTGCTTTTACATATCTTAAGATATTTAAATTCAAAAGCTACCTGTATGTATATGTAAAATCATTTTTCAATTTTACCATGTGAAACATTCCTTCTGTCAATTTTTCCTCCATATCTCTAGGTCAAAAGGTAGAAAATGTACAGAATTTGAGTTCTTCAGAGCCAAAGCCTGTTCAGGAGAACAAAGGACATGTGAAGAGAGAACATGAAGGAATGCCAGTAAGATACTTTCAGACCATATCAGTTTGTCATTAAAAGTAAACATGTAAATTTGTTGTATAATAAATACATTTATTGGTGGTAGTGACACTTAAAAAAAAATTACTTTTGTTTCCATTTAGACCAATTATAGGCCCAAATGATCTTCAGATCTTTTAAGATTTTTCTTGCTTTGTGTGTAAAATTAGTCACATTACAAAAATAGGAAAAAAAAATAACATGAAAATGGAATTTGCCACCTGGTCTGTATGTGGTACTGTGTATTTTTAACCTACATTTCAGATTTTCCATTCCTGACATGAGTTTAGGTAGCTTCTACCTAACATGAGTCACTAGGTAAGTGAGTATTCACAAAGATCTGTTAGAGTTTCTTTTTTTAAAAAACATAAAATTGCATTTATTGTTTTTTTACAAAAACAAATATAAAGCATAAAGAAGAAAATTTAAGCATAGCCTGTAACTCATTTACACAGATAACCCCTATTCATTAATTTTTAAAAATGTAGTATATAGGCCCTTTTGTTACAACAAGGGGTCCGTTCACTGTTCTGTAGCAAACGTATCTTGGTCTTACTTTATAAACCTATATCTTGTTCTTGCTCTGTAAATCTATTGTGAACTTCTTCAATAAAATTCATTTCACGCTAAAAAAAAAAAACGTAGTATATATTCATGGAAAACTCAAACATCACAGAAAGGTAATAAAATAAAAAGGGAAGGCCTCTTCCTACTCCTGCTTATCTGGGAGATAACCACTATTAAGGGTCTTGTTTCTTTATTTTTCTAAAGGGCACATACCAGCTTACATTTGTATATTCTGTTTTTCAACAATGAAATAAACACTGACAAACCCACCCTGGCTTCAGAACTGGAATATTTCCAGTTTTGTTTTTTGGCCTCTACGTTCCTTATCCCACCCTCTTCTGCTTCCGTCAGAGAGTGGAATTGGCTGGACTTAGTGTTTATCACTAAGTTTATCACTATCATTATAGTGTGTTTATCACTATAAACATACTTAGTGTTTATCATTCCCTTGCTTTGCTCTATAGTTTTGCTTTGTATGTATGTATCCCCAAACAACATACTCTTGAGTTTTCTTTATTTTTGAACTTTTTAATAAAGTTTTTTATAGTTATATTGTTGCTTTGTTTATTCAGTTATATATTTCTGAGGTTTATCTACATTGTGGCATGTGGCAATAGTTCAAGTTTTCTTTGGTCTATTATATTCTACTGTGAATATATCACAAATTATTTTTCAATTTTTTTATTGATGGACATTTAGATGGCTTCCAGGCTATTTGTTTTTATGATAACTATAACTAGGTACATTCTTGTATGTGTTTCAATAGCTACTTTTTAAGTTTTCTCTATGGTGACATGGTTATCTAGGAGTGGAATTAATGAGTTGTAGAATAGAAGAATGTTCTTCTTTACAAGATAATGCCTGTTTTCCAAAATGGTTGCACCACTTTTATTTCTGCCAACAATGTGTAGAGTTCCCATTCATCTACATTCTTGGCAATACTTTTTATTTTCAGATTTTTATGTTTTTATGAGTCAAGTGGATGAAAATAGTCTCTCTTATTTTACATTTCTCAGATTACTAATACGGTTTAAAATTTTTCTGTGTATTTATTGGCCATTTTTATTTCATCTGTGAAATTCTTACTGATGTCTTTTGTCATTTTCCTATTGATTTATCTTTTCTTCTTTTATTTACATTAGTTCTTTGTTTAGTCTGAATACTGATCCTATTTTGATTATGGTTTTAGCAAATTTCTTCCAATGTGTGGTTTATATTTTCACTTTCTCTATAGTGTCTTTTGATGAACAGAAGTTCTTCATTTTGATGTTCTCTATTATTATTTTTATGGTTAGGGTTTTATGGAATTTTTAAAAATCTTAACTATACAGGGATAAAAATATTACCTTGTATTTACCCTAAAAGGATTTTTTTTCAGTTTTGCTTTGCACATTTAAGTCTTTCATCCATCTAGAATTGGTTCTTGTTTATAGTGTGAGGTAGGGATCCAATTTCATTCCCTGCTCCTCCATAGATAACTGTTTTGTCTCAGGTCCCATTTACTGAATCCATTTTTCCTTTATTGATCTGAAATGCCACCTCTTCTCATATATGTTATTTCCCGTGCAAGGCTTTACTTTGATGCTCCTGCTGCTGCTGCTGCTTTTTTTTAAATTTTTTTTAATTTTTCAGACACAATCTTACTCTGTCACCTGGGCTAGCATGTAGTGGCATCATCATAGCTCACTGCAACCTCAAACTCTCAGACTCAAGCAGTTCTCCTGTCTCAGCATCCCAAGTAGCTAGGACCATAGGCATGCACCACAACGCCTGGCTAACTTTTCCAATTTTTAGTACAGTTGGGATCTTGCTCTTGCTCAGGCTAGTCAGAAACTCCTGACCTCAAATGATCCTCCTGCCTCGACCTCCCAGAGGGCTATGATTTTGCTTCTTATCTTGATTCATCAGCTCTGTCTTTCATCAGTTGAATAACTCTTTTTACTTTGCTCTTTAATACTTCTTCCACTGGGATTTTTAATTCAGCAATTACACTTTTTGCTTCTGAAAGTTCAAATTTGTACTTTTCAAGCATATTTTATAATTTCTAATCTCTTGTTGCTTGCTCATTTTTTAAATTCTCATCTTTTATTCCTTTAAAATGTTCATAAATTACAATTCTGAATTTTTTTCTGATGTCTGAAATCTTGGGAGATTCTAAGTTTGTTGTTTCTGAGACTCTTTTACATAATGATTTAGTCTCTTTGATGTTTGGTGATTTTTGATTGTGAGTTCCTAGATGGCTGATCTTAATCTGCAGAAAATCTGGATGTCTAGATTGATGATCACCAGGACAACATTGGCATTTGTTTCTTCCACCACTTAGGGAGTTCTACATAAATCCTGGAATTTTGGTCATTTTGCTACTGACAGTGGTAATATTGGATTTATCTTTAAAATAGCCCCATTTCACTGCTATGGTTTCTGCTCACTTTTAAGGGGTACATGTGGATCTCTTAGAGGGTTCTTTTACTTCTTATGAGCCCCAAATTACAACTAGTGTTTTTATGTAGGATTTAATTCTTAAGGCTAGATGGTATTTTGTCTCTCATGTAGTCAGAAGCAGGAGGGCCTGCATTTTGCTTTTCAACTAAGGAAATATCCTGAGTATATTATCTTTTAGCACACTAGATATATTATCCTTCTAAAAGGCTATGTAATAATTTTTTCATATAGTGTTAGAGTTCTAAATATTTTTTTCATGGCCTACTTCTTTTTTAACTTAATAATTATTCTTTATTTTAATTATACATCTTTGTTCCCCCTTTTCATTTGTTTGCTTCTTTAGTATTTATCCCATTAGTTGGCTTATTGAATTCCATATATATATTTTTTTAATATATACTCTGCAGTGGGAGGCCTTAAATTTACACCTTGACTCCTAGCTTTATTCTCTATCTCAGCAGTTTTGGAATTTTGTTGCCCAATTATAGGACATTCTCTTTGAATATTTAGCTCAGAGATAAAAGTTAAAATGTCAGAAACTTCCTCAAGTTCATTCGTTCGTTCCTTCCTTTGGTTTGTCATCATCATTCTCATTGTCACCTAATTTATACCCTTTAATTTTCTTTCACTCTCATATGCAGCTGATTATAAGCTCTTGTCTGTCATTCTATAGCATTCCTCTCATTTATTCTTCTTCTTTCTACCAGCAAATGCCTCATGCCCTCATTCCTAAATTGCCATAACTTTTCCATAGCTATTTTCTTGTTCACTCTAATCTCACCCACAGATAACTACTAGACTTATCTTTCTAGTTATGTTTTTAATCACAGTAAGCTATTTTATGTAATGTATAGTTACTTAGTTTGTCAATATTTGGTCAAAAGTTCTAAACCTAAGGTCTAAGGCCCACTGGCAGCTGTCTCTTTTAGAAGATCTGCATTTCTTCTTACCTTTTTCCTTCTTCGCTTGGTGCCCTGCACAACCTGCTGTAATCAGCTGCTTTTCCTCCACATAGAACTTTCCTATTACCACTCAGTGCTTCCTCCCCTGAATCCCTTCCTGTCTTCCCTCTACCACTTCGTGTCTGTTGCCTTTTTGAACAACTCTCCTGTAACTGTGAGCCTAGTAAGGTAACAGTTTATTCTTCATATTTTTCAGAGAGAGTTTATTTGCATGTTTTGCTTATGCACATTTTAATTATTTTGTGTAATTTGTGTATGTTTTGTCTCTCCAAGCAAATTATAAATTTTTAGAGGATGCAAATTGCCTCTTGATTTTTTTAAGCCTTTATATTTACTACAAGGTTCAGTGTGAAGCAGTGCTCAGGAAATTCTGTGACACGTTACTAGAAAGACACCTAGAAAGACACCTTGAGTGGACTTTTTAGAAGTCTGGGTAGAGTTTGCTCCTTCCTTGCCAGCACATTCACCATTTGTGTGGTGAGAATTGAGTTCACTATGTATGTGGCTTAGCTGGAGGAAGAAATAGAACTTTAAAATAAATTACTTCCATATAATTTGGCATTCTTTCTTAAATCAGTTTAATTGGATGTCAGTTGACAAAGTAGAGGATATAAAGTTTCAGATCTTGAGTAATATATAATTCAATTATAGTAATTTGTGCACACATATCCTTCAAATGGAAAACATTGTTCCATTTTTTGTTGCTATTATTATTGTTTGTTTCTTTTTCTTTAGAAATTTGGGCTAGAAACTTAAGTCTCATAAAAATTAATACTTTCCTATAATAAATAATATATTCCTTTCTGTCTGAAGATCTTAGTTCGAAGAAGCAGCAGCCCTGCCGAGTTGGATTTGAAAGATGATTTACAGCAGATGCAAGGAAAATGTAGGGAAAGACAAAAGAGTAAGTTCCAGGAAATGTGGTCTGTGTTCATCTAACTACAGTGTTGATGTGTTTTGTTTTCTTTTTACTTTCTAACTTAAGTGATATGCTATCAATTGAAGAAAGATGGTTGTGAAATGGGACATTTTGAACCCTGAAATCCCAGGATTGATGAAAGGTTAATCTACACATACAATAAAACAGTTTCATTCAGTTACTTATACCTATGAGGCCTGTCTTTCTACCTCTGTGCCTTTGTCTAGGTAACAAGCACAATAAATGCTAATGGCTTAGGTGAGCAGACAGACCCAGAAGGAAAAATTATCTTCCCCAGAAAGTTCCCACAGGCTAAGAACAAAAAGCCTCAGAAGTACTTTGATGTCAGTGGGATAAGTGTTTAAAATTTGATTGGAATCCTGAGAAATATTATCATATATGTAAAATATAGCCTTAGTACTTTGCTTTCCCGACATCAGGTGCCAGGCCACCTCTTTCTCAGAGTATCATAGTAAACACTTCTTCTTGGTGGGGGCAGAGGGACTCTCCTCATGCTCTGCCTTCACCCTATTGGCTTGGAGTTCTGTGGAAGATGAGCTTTGGGTCCCCACAGTTTGGTCATCTGGTTACTGAGACAACTTTCAGTTCTTCGCAAGCGAGTAGAAGACAACAGATTGGAAACAGTCAGACTGGGAGACTGTCAGCAGCAGATACTGAGAGAGCCGGAAGGGTGAATACATAAAACACATAGCCGAAAGGGTAGACACATAAAATTGTTAGGAAGTAGACAGGAGACTTTGAGGAGCGGAACTGTCTAGGTTTTTTTTTTTTGGTTTTTTTTTTACATCTTAGAACTTACTGTTGTTTAAAAGGGAGAATTTCTGTTGTAGAAAATCTTTTGTATTGGGACACTTCATCCCCAAATGACCCTGAATGAGTCACCCTGGGTTAGGTCTACAACATCTTTAGACTCTGCTAGCTGGCAGAGTAAACTTGTGTTTCTGATGGAATCACTTATTACCTTCCTCTACTCACTCTCATTCTATAAGTCTCAGAAAACTTTAGGCCTTAAGTGTAATCTTTTGAGTATATGGGATACTGAGTGAAGACACTTTGAAAAGAATGCCACTTGAGTTGGTATAGAATGGTGTCTGTAGTGACTATTAAAGCCCTGTGCTTTATTCCTGCTGTGTTAGCTGTTTAAGCCTTTAATTGTTAATACTTGCATATCAGTAATTGTGAGCATCCTGATTTTCAGCTATTTGCCGTCTGAAACTTTGCTTCTTCCATTGTGCCAGGTGAAAGTACCAGCAGTGACACAGCTCTGGGCTATAACAATGAGGCAGAGCTATGCGCGAGCCCATGGCAGACCTGCGAGGAAGACCAAGAGCTGAATACTCCCACAGATGTTGTGGCTGACTCTGATGCTCGCCATTGGTTACAGCTGAGTCCCACGGATGCTTCAAACTTAACAGGTAACTACCTATTTGGAAAAGAGGCACCAGTGCAGACATCGGGGAGATCCCAGTGTTTCCTAGTTATCAGAACTCCAGGGATCTTCTGGCACAATGTGATGGGAGTGCCACCTCCAATTACATTGGTGTGGCCTCCCTGCCCAGCTGTTCACGATCAGTGGTGAATTCTTGGAGTCCTATATGTAAAGGGTTCTCAAACAGTTATGGGAGGAAGTATGCCATGCTTATGACCACTGTGTACCGTGGGAGGAAGTAACGGTATTCATGTCAAGCCTTTGCCATCCCTGGTTGAATTTGCTCTACTCCAGAAAGATTGAAGAGTGATTTTTTTCCAACTTACATGTGTCATAAATCCAGGACAGCCCAAGGGATTTAGATAGCTTATTGATTAATATTTTTTAAAAAAATGTATTATAAAGTATTTGATACAGACAACGTAAGTTGTGACATTTACGTATGTAAGTTATGGGGCACAGTAACAAAGTGAACACCAGTGAGTCTACTACCCAACTTAAGAACATCACCCAAACCAGCGAGGTCCCCTCGTGGCCCTTCTCAATTCCCTTCTCTTCTCCTGTCACTCTATCCTAAATTTATTTTTATACTAATTCTCTTGATTTCTTTAAAGTTTTAGTATGTGTGTATGTCCTTGAACAATATATCATTTAGTTTTATTCTTAAACTTAAAAAAAAAAAGTGATGTCATACTGTGTATTTTTTTGCAACTTTTTTACCCTCAGTATTATGTTTCTAAGGTTCATGCATAGACTACAGAGCCAAACTTTGTGGGTCTGCATCTAGGCTCTGCCAGGAAATTGCTGGGTTGGGTGCCCTTGAGCTAGTTTTTTAGTCTCTGTCATTTAATTTCTTTTCCTGTAAAATGGGGATAATAATAGTCTCTACTTCTTAAGGTTGACGAAAGAGTAAATGAATGAACATCTAAGTCAGGTACGCAGAACAGTGTGTGTGGAAGTGCTCTGCAACTACACATGCCCACACACATGTGTGACCCTGGGTAAGTGAACCTCACAGAGCCTCAGCTTCCTCACTCAGCCCTTGTGACCAGGCTGTTGAGAATGGGGACACCAAGGAGGAGTTGGGTTTTGTTTTCCTTTGCTTTGTCAAGTGCCAGGAGAGACTAATGCTCTGGGGAACTCAATGTGGGCAATGCTGATCAGAGCCAAGACCTTCCTGGCTGCCACATTCATGCTCACACCAGATATTTTGTATGAAAATAATCACCATCACAAAGTAAAAACATGGCACATGTTAAGTAGAGTGCTATCAAAATGCTAAAAATTACTTTAAAATTATAAAGATTAAAATTTTACCATAAATAATTTTTATTTTTTTGAAACAGAGTCTCACTCTGTTGCCTGGGCTAGAGTGCCATGGCGTCAGCCTAGCTCACAGCAACCTCAAATTCCTGGCCTCAAGTGATCCTACTGCCTCAGCCTCCTGAGTAGCTGGGACTACAGGCATGCGCCACCATGCCTGGCTAAGTTTTTCTGTGTATATTTTTAGTTGTCCAGCTAATTTCTTTCTATTTTTAGTAGTGACAGGGTCTCGTTCTTGCTCAGGCTGGTCTTGAACTCCTGACCTTGAGTAATCCTCCCACCTCAGCCTCCCAGAGTGATAGGGTTACAGGCATGAGCCACCATGCCCAGCCTAGTAATTTTTTTTTTTTGCTAAGCAAACTTTCGTATTTTCTATGCTTCTAATGAATAAAAATTTAACAAAGACTCTGATATTTGGGAAATTGTTGATGGAGTAACATTAATACAAATTAACATATAAAAGTATATATGGATAAAATTTGCACAACCTAATGAGTTTTGACTACTAATACTATAAATTTATATTAGGATTTAACAGTGTACAAAGAACTTTGAGGCACCCTCTTTGATTCTGTATGGTGAGCAGGCCAAGTCTTAGCATTCTGTTTCAGAGATAGGAAACTAAGACCCAGGAAGTTGTGTTAATCAAGCTGAGAGTAAGCTCCAGAGTTTGATACTGTTCCATGTTGTTCTTTTTCTATGCACTTTTCTCCCCACTGACTTGGAAATTACAACTGTAAAGCCCTTTGAACTACTTGGGAATCGTTACAGATTATCTGAGAGAAACTCATCATTGTGGTACTATAGAAGACAATACTGAATCTTCAGTAAGTTGAATTTACTTAAACATGAACTAATTTTAATTATTTTTATTGAAAGGAAAAAATTATATGATACTCTTTTGTCTGTCCTTTGGAAAGATTATTTTGATCCCATTTCAGAGTATGGGATCAAATTGACAGCTCAATTTAATAAACTTGTGTGAGGTAATTTATATGATGCACTCTATGTTGTGATTAACTCCTCCAAATACTTAGGTCTTCTTTGAATACTAATAGAGAATCAGTTCACTCAGTTCAATAGTTCATCTGTCATCTATGAAAAGGACAAACTGTAATATGATAAGGCTTAAGGATTATCACAGTTCTGAATTTAACTTTCTGTTCTTAAGAGAACAATTTCTTTATAAATGTACAAATAAAACTTATATTAGCCTGATCTTTAGGACATGCAAAAGAGAAACAATTGAGCTATCTTTGTTTCACCTTGAATAATTCTACCAATTATCCAATGCTTAGAATAATAAATTACTTCTAAAATCTTAAATTCCTACATCACTGGCAAGGTAACAGTTTACTTTTATATTTGCTTTCTCATTTAAATCATATCATGTTTGCTGAAAATAACAGCTACATTTATTGTGCATTGTTTTGAAATGTGGCTGGGATTTGTTTTATCAGTTATGGTAAGACACAAGACATGGAAATGACTGTTATGAAGGAAGGAATTTATACTCACAGGTCCCTAAAAACAGGGGCAGATGGGAAGCACCAGGGTCAAATAGGGGAGAAGGAACAAAACATGGCTAACAGCCTTTATTGTCACTTTTACTAGAAAAGCAAGGCAACGCAGAGTAAGCGGATTTAGGAATACTGGTGTGAATAATTTTAGTGGGATCTGGAGCATAGAAACTGTCCCTATGGCATGGTACCTGGTGCTGGGTTGTTAGGGTTAGGGATATCGACTGTGGTGTTAAAGCTATGTAAGGAGGTAGTTGGAGGGAATGTACTTTGGATTTGTTGGTTTGTATATGAAAGCATGCCTCCTTCCTGATGAGTTGTCTGCTATCTCTAGCTAACCCTGGAATGGGCAATCCCTCCCTGATCAGCAAGGCATTAAGATACTGAGCATTAAGAATATAGAAAATAAGGAATATAGTGAATACATATGTAAATTCAGTTCTGTTGGATAGTGATTTTGGGGAGGGATATTTATGACTTACAGTTAAGAATTGGTATTGCTAGTTACCTCATCCCTTATTTTGCCAATAGCTTATGATCTAGAAATACTGATTTAGACACTATGAGAAATAAAAAGATGCATAGGTCATAGTCACTATAGTCTTAAGAGCTTACAAAGAGGACAGATGAGAAGAGATTTTTGCTGATAGTCACAAATAATGTGATAAATGCTATGAGATTTTCCTGAAGTTATAATCACAGGGATCACAAATAGAATAATGGATAGAATATAAAGTACAGAACTGAGTGCACACAGACATGGAATCAGATATTTGAAGAGGTGGCTTTCCAGATCTGGCAAGAAAGAATTGTTTAACAAATCCCTGTGGACAAGTATTTAGCCATGTGGGAGAAAAAATGAAATAGAATCCCTACCTCACAACCATGCCCAAAGTCAATTCCAGAGGGGAAAATACATAAATATGAAAAGGAAAATCTAAAAACTTTTGCAAGGAAGTATCTTCTGAAAAAAAAAAAGTCTATGATCTTAGAGTAGGGAATACTTTTTTAAATGAGGGAAAAAAGTGCTAATCATAAGAAAAGTATTAATCATTCAATCTTAGCAAAATTAAAACCTTTTCCTTATTTCAGAGAAACTTTAAAATTTCTGTGGTTTAGCAGAACCCCAAAGCATAAAAGTTGGCTTTGGTGCTCTCTCCTTTCCAGGTTCCTGTCAACTCAGTGATAGTTTTAAGGTCAGGTTTAGTAAGAAATTGTATCCAGCTTACTGGTTTAGTTGGGAGGCCCAGGGTCTTCTATTGAAACATAAAATCCAAGAGAGAAGCTTCTTATCTGTTGTGTTCACAACTGATTCTTGGCTCTAAGAATGGTACATGACAGGAGAGAAGCATTTGGTAAATACTTGAATCAATGAAGAAATATACTTTAAGCTGCAGGCTATTATTTTATATAGCTAAAAACAGCAATTAAATTTTAACTTTTCAAAATAAGAAGTGTTGAGAGAGTTTCAAAGTCTCTTTTGTTTAGTATATTTATCATAGTCCTGCATGTAAATGTTATAGAAATTCTTTACCACTTCTACTTTTCATTATAGCTGTGAATGTGAGTTACATCCCCTGTTACCTGCACTAAAATTGTTTTTACAAGAATGATTTGTCAGCATTCTCTGCCATCACACTCATTTGGCATTTTTACCAGCTTTGATCTGTTTTGAAGTCATGAAACATTATAAAGAAAAACAACAATGGTAGTTACCTGGCATTGGTAGCTCACTTTCTGAAATCTTTACATTAAACAGTGGATGTCCTTGGAAAGCAGACAAGAAAGGAGTCAGACCACAGTGGTGGGCAGCAGAACTCCAACCTGCTCCTTCCCCACTTTGATCATGATGTCCAGGCCTGAATTTCTGGCTGGAATTAAGATGTTTCACCCTAGAATTAAGATGTTTCAATCAAGCCTTTGAGTTTGTGTCTTTTGTTTAGTTCTTAAAAGGAAAATTCATTTTCAAAGACAGAGGCTATATTTCTTCAGCATCTCAGCCTATATAAAATAAAATAGCCATATAAATAGGCATTTGGTCATTAGTGCCTCTTGTTCAGTTACCAGGACATGTTTCATGGTAAATGTTTCCATATTTTCAAGTTCTACTTTTAGATTTATCTGTTAAAATCATGTATGTGTT